TAACAGTAATGTCTAGCTCAGTGGCTGCTTACTGGTTAACCTGAGACCTTTCTGATGGTGATGGGAGCTGTATGGTAGTAAATAAAGCTTCTCTCTTCCTAGCAAGGTGCAGGCAGCACATGTTCCTAAGTCCAGCCTGGTACACAGATGCTTAAAAGCAGCTTGAATTTAAACCTGTTCAGAAAATAGGTTTTACAGGGATGTCTCTCTCTTCCTCAGGAGTCTGTAAGCTTGGATTCATAGTATTAGGAGTGTCTGGTTCTGAGGAGAAAGGGTTTAAGAGTGGTTCAAAATTGTGTTAAACATTTGTAAAATGACCTTTCTGTGTTAAATGCATAGCAGCTTTAGCTGACACAGCAGCCCATCTGAAGTATCACTGGGTCTTGCTGGCAATAGTAGATGGCTTCAGAGTGGTATAGGTATTACACAGTCTTCCTGGGGAAAAAAAGCTTTTATTTAGGTCAATACAGAGCATGAGAGGAAAAGAGAAACCTGCTGAGTCAGCAGCACTGTTCCTGCAGAAAAAATTGGGCACACTCAGGAATGATTTCTCTTGAATTTCCTTTTTACTTCCTAATACTAAAGCCCATCTATGTTTTTGCAAAGAATCTGCTGCAGACCTGCAGCATCTGGCGGTGGACCCAGAAATTCTCTTTCTGAGGAGCTAAAGAATAAACCCCCAAGGGATTAATTCCCTAAAATGCAGGATGATTTAAACATTCCTGAGTTCTCTTCTTGACTCTTTCCTCAAATGGGTCCTGTTCAAATGTCTCTGAAATCTAGTGCAGGTAGGATTTTGGTAGATCTTGAGTAAGTACTTGCTCTCGTTTGGAGCATGTGGTAAAGTACTGTTTTTTCTATCTATGAGGTGGTCTTCCAGAAGATGGAAACTAGTTTTTTTTACCCTTTGGGGATTATATCTAAGTTCTCAAATTCTGCAGCAGTGGTCTTGAAGCTGCCTTAATGTCTTCAGCATGGCATAACAAGTTCTATGCTAGGCCACTAAATCTCAGGAATTAAAGACCTTTTCACACACACACACAGACACACACACACACAAATTGGTGTGTCACTCCCATGTCACTCCCTGGAAGTGAAGAATTGGGATTAATGTTCTGAGGTTATTATTCTTGTAGATCTGTCATAGTTCTCCCTTCTCAGAAATGTGAGGAGTTGTCTTCAGCTGTAGAAATTGTGGTGTGATCTGCTTTTTCCTTTGCTTCTCCTACCCTTTTCCTAGATGCACATGGTCTAGTCAGAGTGCAGACAATCCCCATGTTATGTTCTGTGCCATCCTGTCATAAACCCTCTTTTGGGGCTTCTCCAGTGGGAATGGTACAACCTCTTGAATACCTGAGAAGTGCATTAAATTCTTCTTTAGAGTGACTTCATTTTATATTCCCCTAATTATAGAAAGGTTCATGGGATTTCTGCCATGTGAGTACTTACTGTCAAGAAGTTGGACTGTCTTTGCACCTAGAAGGATGTTGGTCACTCTGCAGCATATATTTGGGAAGAGTCAGGACATGGGGCTGTCACCAGGCATTGCGGGAGCCCCAGATCCTGGACAAACTTCACTGCAGTTGAGATGTTTTGGTATTACAGGTTGTATGTCTTTTGTAAATTACTTATTTGTGTCCTCCTGTCCTTCAGTGTCATAAAATACACTGACATTTTCATACCCTGTTCAATCAAATATGAGAAGAAAATTCTGAGCTCTCGTCTTACTGAACAGATGTAGGTTGTAGTGACTTGGAACACCCTCCCACACTTCTTTTCAAGAACTCAGAATGAATGTTGGATTGAACAGGCTCCTGTGCTGTATAGCAGATCACTTGGTTTAGCACCTTTCAGAATGTAAATATTTATGGAAGCTTTACAAAACTTACCAAAATGAATGAATATGTACAGGTGACAGGACGTGCCATCCTCTGCATGACATTGCTTGTAATGCAGGTCACTCAGAGTTACCTAAACGTGGAGAACTTTCTGTTGTCTTTAAAAGTGGTTTTCTAATATTTAAATGATTTCTGATTATAGGAAATACAACGTACTTGTGGGAGTTCCTTCTGGACCTTCTCCAGGACAAAAACACTTGTCCTCGATACATTAAATGGACTCAGCGAGAGAAGGGAATCTTTAAACTTGTGGACTCAAAAGCTGTCTCCAAACTCTGGGGAAAACACAAAAACAAACCTGACATGAACTATGAGACTATGGGAAGAGCCCTGAGGTAAAAATTCTTACAGCCTTAAGTTACCTACCATAATTTTAAATCTGATTCTTAATTTTGCTTCCAGAAATAAAACAGTGCTGAAATCTAAAAGTTTTGCCCTCTTGCTGACTTAGCCTTCAGTCTTGCAGTCCCTATTGCTTTTTATGTTACCAGCAAATTTGCAATTTAATTCCTGAAGTATGTGTTTAAAAGGTCAGATTTTTTTTTCAGGTAAGTCCTTCAGATCCCTCGCCAGGGTGTTCTGCCACCTTCTTTCCACACCTCTTCACACTGTAGATATTAGTACTGTAGTTACTTCAGCTTTACTTGTTAGTACAGAATGAGGTTTTCTACTTGTTGCTTACTACTTGACTGTATTTCTCTTGCAGATACTACTATCAAAGAGGAATCCTGGCAAAGGTTGAGGGACAGAGGCTTGTGTATCAGTTTAAGGAGATGCCAAAAAACATAGTTGTCATAGATGATGACAAAAGCGAGTCCTGCAATGAAGATTTGTCGATGCCTACAGATGAGAAGTCATTGGAAAGAGTGTCTTTATCTGCAGAAAACCTTTTAAAAGCAGCAAGCTCTGCACGTGGAGGAAAGAATTCCTCTCAGTTAAGCTGTACCAGAGCAGAAAAAGGAGTCACCAGAGTCGTGAATATCGCCTCGCCAGCGCATGACACATCCTCATCTCGGCCCTCAACTACCACCACTACTGTCCCAGCAACAACAGCTCCCAGGTTTGTATTATTATGTGCCTTGGGTTTGTCTTCTCTTCATGACAAGCAGCTTTTTTGTTAGGAAGCTGTCTTTTAGGGTTTTTTGTCTATGTTTTAAATGTTGGAAATAGTTTCTGATTTGCAAGTAGCAGTGTCATTTAGAGTCACAGAATGGTTTGGCTTGGAAGGGACCTTAAAGATCATGTAGTATCTGTAATGGTGCCCTGTGTTTTGGCATAAACACACACATCTTTGTTTATTTTGTAGGACTGTTCGTGTGGCAATGCAAGTGCCTGTTGTCATGACCTCTCTGGGACAGAAAATCTCCACCGTGGCAGTGCAGTCGGTAAACGCGGGGTCACCGTTAATAACCAACACGAGCCCAACAACAGCGACAACCCCAAAGGTAGTAATCCAGACAATCCCTACTGTGATGCCAACCTCTGCTGAAAATGGAGACAAAATCACAATGCAGCCTGCCAAAATCATTACCATCCCTGCCACGCAACTCACGCAGTGTCAGTTACAAACAAAAACGGGCCTGTCCGGCTCAGGAAGTATTAACATTGTGGGAGCCCCGTTGGCTGTTAGAGCACTAACCCCAGTGTCTATAGCTCATGGGACACCAGTAATGAGACTATCGGTGCCTGCTCAGCAGGCCTCTGGCCAGACTCCTCCCAGGGTGATTAGTGCAGTTTTAAAAAGCCCCGAAGTTAAATCAGACACAGCGGCTTCAAAACAGGAGTGTGAAGTGAAAACACTGCAGCTGGTAAAAGAAGAGAAGCCGGCAGATGGAAGCAAGACTGTGACCCACGTAGTAGTAGTTAGCACGCCCTCAGCTATTGCCCTTCCTGTAACAATGAAAACAGAAGGAATCATAACGTGTGAAAAATGAAGAATAGGCTGCTTCCAGCATGGACCTTGCCTGTAACGGTTTTGAGTATACTGACATAATTGGGGGAGGGATGTGGATGCCACCACCAAGTCAAAAAGGAGAGTTTTGGAATGTTAATAAACATGAATCTGTTGAAGACTTACTGGAAAAAAACAAAATTATTTTCCCGTGTTTCAGTGGGAATTGAACCACATTTGATATGCTGACAAAAACTGCCTCTTCCAGTTGGGAAACAGCTGAACCTATGGAGAAGGAAAGATAGAGGGACTGAAAAGGGACCAAACTATTCACTACGCTACCGGTTACCAAGTTACACTAAGACCTGGAACACTAAAAGAGAGCTGTGTGAGAGGTTTGCCTTGGTTTTTAGTTTTCAGGGGGAGAGGAAAGTCTCATTGTTACACAAATGGCAAATTTGATGCAGTTTATGTGCATACCAGCGATTACTACTGTGCCCACAGTACTCAACTGGTGCTATGTGAAAAACTCTGCTATACTAGGCATTGTAGAAAGTGAAATAAAGGAGGTTTAAGAGCTTCTAAAAGAAGACAGAGACCTAGAGGGATTTTTGTATCATACAGCTTAAGCAGATTCAAAATGAAAGCCTTAGACTGATTTTCAGTTATCTTTCTTGAAATAAGCTAATGGCTTGTTTGTGTAAAGCTTTTTTATTAAAACAAATTTTTTAAAAACCTTGTACCTAGCACAGTATTGTTATAGAATGACATGTAACATATTTTGTATGGTAGTTTAAAGTCTGTCTAAATTTCTTAATCGTGGACAAAGTAGCAGCAGGCTTCCTGCCTTCTGCTGTAACATGCCTGTGTCTCTCACTTAGCCTTGGCATCTGTGCATACATTTCAGTTTCAGCTCTACTCTGTCACTTGAAAGGTCACGCCCAGCATGAGCTTTTGTCAGGTAGTTCTAAACCTGTAAATTTTTTTTTAGTTGAAGTTAAGAGGGAAGTACCAGTGTTCGGAACGAACTATAATAGTTTGTATATTCAACATTTGAAGTATATTCTATTTTGTTGTACTCTTGTTTCAAAGTGTATTCAAGTAGGTTTTACTGAAATACAGAAACAAAATTTAATGGTGTTTGGTCTGCTTTTTATTTTTTACTTTTTCCTTTCAACCTATTAACCACCTTTTCTGCTTATTTGAAATTTTCCAGGTGTTCAGCCTAAGATAGATGATATAGCATGACATTTTGGAACTGCTCACTACTCTGAATGGCTGACCAGCTCTTGCACACAGTACGCCCAGATATTTTTTGTTCAAGTATCTGTGAAGCTTGTGGTAGCTGGTGAGGTAACTTCTGACAGAGGTCTAGTTCTCTTACACTTTTTCAGGTTGTTCAGCACACCCATGAGCTCTGGGAGCTACCTAACTGCTCCTCCAGGTACACCTCAGTTTCCTAAGGCTGCACTGCAGAGGAAAGGTAGAAATGAGCAGTGTTCTAATCTCTGATGATCTCACAGAGGCAGACTGAAAGTACTGGGACACAGAAACAAGAAAGAGAAATACTGAGTTAACACTGCTGGTTCTTTTGATGTTGTCGCCATTGACATTTCCAACTTGGCTTCAGCGCAAATACAGGACTTTTTTTTTTTTTTCTGGATGGAGTAAGTATCTGAATAGGTTTTCCATTTGTAATTGCACTGAAATTAGAGGTATCATGATACAAGGCTACGGGGTAAAGCTCGTGTGAGAACACACAGTACACAGATATTTGCTCCATGTTTGCAGTCCATGCACATGACTTAAAATAGCTGCACAGGAGCTTCCCTTGTTTTCATGGGGACCCAGGTCCCCAGTGGACTCCCAGTTCCTAGTGAGATGCCCTGGAAAGTCTTCAGAGCGGGAACTCAAGTAATCTTGAGATTATCTAAGTCTAGATGACCATCTTAGTACTTCACGTCTGGAAGAGTAATTTCAACAGATACCTGGAACTGAGGTCTTGATAAAGGAAACCAGAATGAATACTTAGGTGTGAAAACCAAGCTACCTCTCAATTCCTAGCAGTAAGCCCTGTTCTTCCCTTTGACTGGTAAGAAGTGTGGGAATAGCTCCATACAGCCAAGCCAGCAGGTGGGGAGTTTTGAAAGTCTTTAGGAAAATGTATTCTTTTTCATAATTCTAAGTGAGGAAGTGGAGTTTAAGAACAAAGCAATGAAAAAGCTGAAGCAGGTAAAGCGTGGTGTAGATGGCAGCAATCCCTCCCACCAGCAGCAACCCAAAGAAGCAAAGGTTCTTATGCAGGAGCTGTGTTTCTGGCCTGGGGTAGGGGACAAAGACCCCTTCACAGGAGGAAATGTGGGAGAAAGAAGAGGAATTGTGTTGCTAAGAAAGGGGTAGGACAGAAAGGGGAAGGTGGGCAATGGCTCGATTAATTTGGTAGTCTGGGATGCACTGTTATGGGTAAAGAGAAATGGAGCACTGTGAAGAGAGGCAGGTAGAACAAACCCGCCTCAAAAGACAAGAGGAGAGAAAAGTAATAGGGTTTTTAAACCTACGTTTGTAAGTCCTGTCTGTAAGAAGTCTTTTTCTAAATGGTTGTCACTTGATCACACATGAAAGATGCTGCATCTCGGAGTGTGAAATGTCTGCCTCCAGTATTTGTAATTAAAACCTTTCTGACGCCTAATTTAGATACACTGGAAGTCAAATGGGGACAAGCTGTTTTCCTGGAAATAGATAAGGACTTGAGCTGATGACCTTCTCTTAAGTTAGAGCCAAGACTTCATTATGTCATGGCAAAAACGAACGGAATGGAGGTGCACATGTACTACTCGTGGGATAGTCAGCTCGGAGCCCGTGCTCTGAGGCACTGTTACTGCCAGTGCTGCGTCTTGCCACAGAACTGGTGATGGTCTTTTGGCTCTCTCCCCTGGCCACCCAGTGAGCAGCACACAATGCTGGCTGACAGAGGACATTTAACAGAGGCTCGAGAAGTGAGAACCTCAATCTGTATGAGGATGTGCCATAACTGAAATGGGAACTTAACCCCACTTGAAACAGTGAGGATTTTGTTAACCTTTCCATGTATGCCTTTGCCTCACTTTTTTAAATTTAGCTGCTACCTTAGAAGTACAACAGCCTTTTTGTCACAGTCAGGTAGTGATTTCAGTGTATCTGCTTAAGCACAGCTCTTCAGCATTGCTTTGTGTGCATGCGGTGCCTCTGAGTTCTTCTGAGATCCGGTTTCCTTCAGAGTTGGTGTGTAATCTCAGTAGCAAAGCCATGCCTTTTACAAGAGGCAGCCTCTCCTCAGGGATTTCTTCAGCCAAATGTCAGAGAGTTGAGTCCCATCTGTAACTGAAAGTCTCAGAGCATTCCCTAGTGTGGAAGTTTGCTCTTCAATGTGCTGCTTTCAATGAGATATGAGGAAGGAATTCTTCACTCCGGGGGTGGTGAGCCACTGGCGGTTGCTCAGATAAGTTGTGGATGGCCCCATTCCTGGAGTGTTCAAGGCCAGGTTGGATGGGGCTTTGAGCAAGGTTGGTGTAGCAGGGGAGTTGGAACTGCATCATCTTTAAGGTCCCTTCCAAACCAAACCATTCTATGATTCTATGAATTAATTAGTATGTTTTTACTGGTGGTGGTGGAGGATGTGATCTTAGGATGAAGGAGCTTTGGTCAGGTTTGTAACATCTACAATGAAGAGAAGAACACTAGAGTATTGGAAAAGTCAGTATCTAGCTGTACTCCCAGACTTTTTCAATCCCACTGAAAAACCTGTTATTTTCTACCTGTGTGAAAGCAGGACTCACTTTTACATCTGAAGCTGGTGGCTCATGTAGGAGAGTCCAGGCTTAACTCATCCTTGGCAAGTAGTAACTTTTCTAGATGTGGGAATGGAATGAAACTCATGTGAAGTGAGCACGCTTTATACAGAAGGCATTGAGACATATACAGTCAAGGTATCACTGATTTTACAGATACATTTTTACTTTTCCTGTAACTACTGTTGTAAGTTATAGGATGAAAAGGTTGATGCTGTGGGAAGAAAAAAGTCTTAACTGAGTTGCAACTCAGAAAAAAGATCTGAGTATCAAAATTTTGGGTAGTGACAAGAAAAGTTGAAAGGGAAATCCTATCCTGGAGCCTGCTGTTTTTGTTAACTCTCTCCTGGACATCTTACTTAGAGAAGGGTTCTGGGCCCTGACACAACTCAACTTGTCTCAATAAGGCGTGTTGAAAGAAAGGCTGAGCTCTTGGGATCCTCTGCTGCTTGATTTCATCAGTTTTAGGGCTTTGGAGAATTACATCTGAGGTGATGAAGGATGAGTGAGTCACTGGCAGTCAGGAGTTGATGAGGAAACAAAGAGGTGCCCGAAGCCCCAGTTCTCACTCGCCCTGACACGTGCAGCAGGGATCTCGGTTGCATGTGAAGATTGTCACTGCCAGAACAAGATAAGTGCAATTCTGCCTCATAGAGACAGTTCAAACAGCAGGTGTTAAGCTTATTAAGTGAAGAAGATCCAAGTGACACTATCTACTTGTGATCTAATTGTTCTCCGAGAGAGATAGTGTTTTAATAAGCTTGCAACAGCTTCTGCCTTTCATCAAATTAAACAACTGGGTCATTTCTTCCTTCATCTCACTTTGAGGGTGAGGGAAAAGTGTCACTGATAAAGCTAATGCAGCTTTTATTCAAGATCAGAGCAAGGGATCTGTTGAGACTTTTTTTAGCCCTGGTGTGCTTATAAGGCAGACAGCCACGAGAAGAGCTTTGAAGACATTTTTACTGTAAGAGTCATACTGCTACATAGGAAAAACAAATCAAAAACCTTTCTGCTTCTTCCTATGAAAAACATTCAGTATATTGATATTTAGAGCTGGCAAAAGCATTTCAGTGCTGCAGGCCTGCCTCTTGCTGCATAAAACAAAGCAAGAGCAGTATGTCATTTAAGTCTTTCAAAACAGACTGCTCTGCAAAATAAATTTCATGGCAAGTACTGGAATAAAAGGGTGAAGATGTCTGGGAAGTTACCAGTTAATTTCTGTGGCTTGTCTACCTTTTATTGAAATCCAGCAGAAAGGGTTCACTGTTGTGCTTGTAGTGGGGAGGTGTGATTTTCTGAGTATGACAATATTAAGAATTGCCTGGAGATGGGGAGAGTCCCCAGCCTTTTCAATTATTCCACCCTCCCCTCGCCTTCAAAATTACCCTTTAAGGAGATGAAGCAGTGAACATCTACTGTCACGTGGCCAGGGTGGAAGAAGAATCCCAGCCCTTTCCACTTCAGGAGAGGTCTGCAGTGATGGCAGCATCATATAAATCAGACTGTTCCTCCACAGTTTGGTTTCTTTTGTGGGAGAGGTAGCATTGCAAGCCAGGGTCTGAGTTAAAATGCCGTAAGAATCATCCAGATACCAAATACCACACTGTGAGAGGGACAGTGGGAATTTTGCAGCTCTGACAGTTCAGCTGTGGTAAACAAGGCCTTCCATAATCGGTGCTGTGGCTCTGTGCCCTGGCAGTGGTGGAGCCGCCACACTGATTGACACCTCGACTGGCCTTAGGAAAATGGAGCTGCTTAGACAGGAGTGAAATGAAATTAAGGGCTTTCTGGTGTTTGGTGTGTTTTTGTTTGGGTTTTTTTTGTTTTGTTTTTTTTTTTTATGGTTTAGTTTGTTTTTAAATACAGATCTGAGTACAAGTATTACCCTTGTTCTCAAGTCGGGGCTTTCTACCACAAGTGCAGTTTCTTCTAGAAACTGCCAAAAGAGTCTGGATGGAAACTCCAGCTTTCTGGTGTGACTTTTTGTGGTAGATGAGCAGGGATTTGACTTATTAAAGGTATCATCTTGTATGTCTGCATTGTGGTGTTGCTTTCAGAAGTGCTTAGCTACAGATGACTACATACCTGCATTAACGGGCACTTGTATTCTTTCTCCTCCTTGCAAGACCATTTGAGGGAAGGTCCTAAGAGAAGATAATCCTAAAGGAGAAGGATTGCATCTCATCCCCTCAGAGAGCAATTGAGGGCAGCCAGCACCAGGAAAAGGAAGCTGTCACAGTCTAATTGGTGTGAAACGCTCACGGCAGGGATGCTCCAAGGTCTGCCTTCCTGTGGAGCATTAGGAGCATTGCATCTCTGGCCCAAAATCTCCCCCAGAAGAGCCACCCCTCGTGGCTTCCAGGGACACAATTTGCTCTTTCTGAAGTTCCAGCTGAGAGAGGTGGTGGCATGTCCCATCTGCCTGGTAAGAGTATTCACCAAGGACATTATCTCCTTGGTTGTAAAATCCTTTCATTCTGGGGAAATTCAAATCCACAGAAATCCCAGGCTGGTTAAAGGGGCCTCTGCGTGGAAGCAGATCATTGCCCTCATCCTTCAAGGGCCAGGAACACGTGCAGAGTGTGTTACAGCCCTGCAACAGCACTTCACTTGTTTGCCTGACAAGGGAGTGTGTTTGTGTAGGAATTTGGGACTTCCAGTTGCCGGACTCTGTACTTCACTTATCAGCAATGCAAGTACAGTAATTTATGGGCTGTGTAAAGCACATAGCTGTGGCACTTCTTGCTCTTCAAATTAGGTTTTAAAATAAGGTGACAAATTGAGCTGCCTGCTGTGGGGAGCCAGCCCTGCCAGGCATCTGAGCAGCTCTTGGGGAGGGATATTTGCCCTCTGCTTTGCAGGACTGGCCAGGTTTGTAGCTCCACACAACTGCTGGAAATGGTAATATTTACAGTAATACTGACTGTAAGCTTCATCTCTACCTAGGGGAGAGAGCAGCTTAACAGCGCAAGGTAACTCCCCTCCCTACAGATTTGCTGTGGAATTTGGGCATTTCAGTTTGGAGAAACAGCACATGCTGTGAAGGCAAAGCAGCTCTGCCACCCTGTGAGATCAGGACTGCGGGGTGGGGGAAGAGGTCTGGAATGAGAAGCATCACCACTAACTTGAAGCTCCAACTAGTTGAGACCGGTCACTTACTTGGGAACAGGAACCTTGGACAGGGGCATGAGAAAGATAGCAGCAAGACATTACTTTTTTTCCAAAGACTTTTATTAATAAACACATGGAACATTTAAGAGTTACTATGTACCCTACTTTACATGGAAGTACTGCTTTATTTGCCCTGACTCATCTTTCTCAACTATCTAAATGTCAGCCCAACCCCAACCGCTGTCTCTGTTCCCTTCTCTCTCCCTATGGCATTTTCTGGCATAGTGGCATATTTACAATCCATATATGCAATTCCTATGTCATACCAATGAGCATCACATGAGTTACTATACTAACACAGCTCTGTTGTAGCCCAGGTGCTTGGCCAGAGTTCCCCTGGGCCACTGCATGATTTCAAACCAACTTTTGTCAATAAATAAATTTTATCTTGTACCAGGTTCCAGTGTAGCTTTAGATTTCGGAAGATAAATAAAATCTTTCAACATTAAGATTGGCCCTTTACTGAAACAAGATTGACAAGACTACAGATTTAGACCATTTAGAAAAGTAATACTTGAAGCAGAGGAAGAAATACTCCCTGGTTAGCTGTGCCCTCCAGAGGGAAGCACAGAAGAGACAAAGGTACCAGTGCACAAACCTACAGGCTGTATGTGTGTAACAGACACATGCACATTGTTCTGGAAAAGTGAGGGTATTACTCCAGGTTATAGTTAGCCTCTATTTCCTCACCTGCTCTTACTGGAGGGGCCCTTCCTCACACTGCACCACTACCCATTCACTTCCAATGAATTCATCACTTCAGGTCACGTGAAAATGAGAAGAACACACCAGTATGAGCTTAGATTTGTTCATGTCTAATCTGCATTAAACTTCCTTCGTATTGCAACAGAAAAAGATTTAAGAGAATCTCACTGGGCAGTTGAACCTCATTCCCTTTGGTACTTGCAAAAGCTTAACACGAAATAAATAAAATTAGCATGCTGTCAGGGCAAGTTGTTTTACAAACACAAGTGGTTTAAGTACTAAGGCCTCCACATTCATTAGAGGATTAAATCCTTAAACAGGGGGCTTAGTGAAAGGATAAAGCTCATTTGCCTTCTGGTTTTCAAACCCTGACATGGCAAGAAGACCAAGATGAGAACACTGGCTTCTTTCTTCCTCCCTCAAAGGCTCCCCATTAATGAGGGCTGAAGGACATGCGGAACGCCAAACAAGTGCCCAAAATAATGTTTAGTCAACAACAGTGTTTCCTCATCTTCCAACTGCTTCCAGCTTCAAAAGTCTTCTCTAAAATAAAATAGTGGTGAGTTCAGTCACTGCAATACCTAGTGGCATTCCAACACATTACAGCAGCCTGTCAGGGTCTTGATTAAAACTAAAGTCACACACCAGGGACAGGTGATCTGAGGGGTAATTGAACGATGGCAGCCTGTTGGGCCCAATTTGCTCTTCAGTCAGCAAGCCCAGGGCTGAGTTCACATTCAAGGCGTGCTGGGAATACCAGATATAATCCAGCGTGTGCCGGCACTCTCCCGAGGGCCGGATCTTCCAGGTGGTGTACGGGGGCTCCGACTGCCCGTCGGGGCTCAGCAGCTTGTACGCGCTGTTCAGATTGAGGCTGGAGTTGGAGAATTCCCTGTAGACCTCCTCGGTCGGCTCCGCGTTGAAGTCCCCGCAGACGATCAGGGGGATCTTTGCCCCTTGGGTGATGTTCTTCAGGTTCTGGAGGAGGTCGCAGCCCTGCGCGGACCGAAACCTCTCCCAGCCGGTGCGGGCCTTGAGGTGGGTGACGGCGATGCAGAAGAGCCGCCCCGTCTCGTGGCACTTCAGCGTCTGCGCTATGGCCACCTGGTTGGTCTTCAGCTTCATGGCCGTCAGGCGGATGTTGGCGCTGTTGATGAGCTCGAAGCGGTCCTTGAGGAAGAACAGGGCGCAGCCATCCGGCCCGTTGTTGCGCTCCACATCCAGGCACGGGGACCACGGCTTCGGGAAGAAGGTGCACTGGTAGCCCAGTCGGCTGAGGAGCGGCTCAAACGTGTCAAAGTAGTGGTCGACTTCCTGCAGGCACAAGATGTCGGGCTTATACGCCAGGATTTCTTCCAGGATGAGGCACTTCCTCTCCTCCCATTTCAGAGCTTCCATGGGGCACTGAACGAAGTTGTCTTTGCCTTCCCCGAGAGCTGAAATTAGCAGGGATGGGGAGAGAAAAAAGGAAGTTACTGATGGCTCCAGCAGGCTGGCCTCCAGGTTTGGCAGAGGCCAGAGGTGCATCAGTTTACAATGCAGGTCATGGGATTTTTAGCAGTAGCTGGTGACTTTAGGAGTGCCAGGTTTGCCAATGGGTGTGAGAACCCCTTCTCAAACCACCGGAGTCACTCCAAAAAAATTAAGTTCCCTTTACAGATACAAGACTTCCTCTCCCTTTTCCCCCTATGCTGTGGCAAGTACTTTCACATGTGGCTGCTGCAGCTTAAGCCTAAAAATAAAATGCAATGGGATAGGAGTGACTTAACTGCAGATTGTTAAAGCAATCCCTATGGGGGGACTTCCCACCCCAAAAGATTTTAAGATGAGACTGTTGCATAAGTCAATTTACAGCCTTGATTTGAAAATACCAAAAATTATTATAACCGAAAGGTAAAATTATTTTGAAGCATTAAGAATTCCCATAGCAGATCTAAATTCCTGGATAATTCACCACTAAACTAATAAGAAAGCTTTAGACAAGGTTTACAAAGAATAAAATTTAGGGAAGGATGAGTCTTTTCTGGGGGTTAACAACTACCTAAAAACTGATGGGTCTTTTTGAATACACTGTGTTCAGCTAGGACAGGAATCCAGGACTACCTTTGGCATCACAGTTGTAAGGAAAGACCCTTTTTCCTTTCCTACAGGACAGAAGGAAAGCCCCTATTTTAAGTGCTCGAAATACTCCCCCTGGCCCTCAGCCAGTTGTACCTCATGTAGTTCACCTCTCCCTTTGCTCTGCCAGGGAGCTGCACTCGGTCTCAAGGTCATACCTTGGGCAAGGATGTTCCACTGCATGACCCGGATGGGGCGGTGGTTGCTGGCAGCGTTTTTCTTCAGGTTCACAAAGTTCCTCTGGAACCGGGGCGGCCGTTTCTGTAGGACAATCTGACATTCCTCCAGCAGATCCTTGGGGTCTATAGGATCCAGCCGTGCTGGGTCTAGCTGCTCCAGGCAGTCCTGGTGCTGGGACACGGCACCGCTGCTCAGCGTCTTGGCAAGCACGCTGTAGAGCCGGCTGGTGCTGTTTCCCATGGAACACACTGGAAAGGAAAAACTGCTGTTAAGAGATGTCCACCCTGACTCTTTTCATCACTTGGGTGCCTTGTTGCAGTGCCAGCAACCTGTGGTTTGTGCAGGAGCCCGTTCCTGAAGCTGAGACAAAATACGAAGGATGCAGAGGCAGGGTTAGTCCTGTCCAGTCTCATCATGTTCTGCCTGCCCTCCGGGGCTGCTCACCTCTGCAGCGTGCAAACAGCCTGGCTTAGAACATCAGGCTGGTCTTTTTAGGGAAGAAAGGAGTCTTTCGTCCATAATAGTAGGGCTAAGATTAACTCTGCATGCATTGTAGGAAACAGAATAGAGCATACTTTTCCCTTGCTCAGAGAGGAGAGAGCCCAGCAGGTAGACAAATGCTGCCTGTTCCTCATTTTGTGTGCAGCATTTGCCTGTGATGGAGATGACAGACACACTGTTTGGCCTGGTACCTTGTCCTGATTTGGGATGCCTCCAGGCTGCGGGTTCCTACCTGCAGAGCAGCAAGCAGGGTGACTCATTCCCTTGGGTTAATATTTAATAGGGATCTCTGATCACAGCTTTATCTGCTTTTGCAGCAATGTTTTCATGAGCGTGAAGCAGCCAGATGCTTCCGTTGGCTTAGGCCTTAGGATGTGCAATGGAGAGGGCAGTCTCTCCAGCTCCTGCACACAAGCAGCTGTCCCCAGCTCTCCCTCTAAGGCAGTCAGCCCTCACCCAGCCCCGTGTCTCCTGCAGGGAGGTCCCCCCATCCCAGGTGAGGTCACGGCTGCCATGGGGAGGGTGCATGTGCGTCCCCACCCTGTTCTGCCCTTTGGCTTACACGCAGGAGGTGACTGCAGCCCTCTTCCCTTAGGAGGGTCAAGGAGCAGAGCCACCCATTCCTTTCAGCCAGCAGCCCTCATGCCTGTTGTGCTGTGAAATACCTCCTTCTCCCACTTCCCAAGAGCACAAGCAGTACCACTGCACAGCCACAAACCCTTCAAGGCTTTGCTTAGTGCACACACATGGGACAGCATCAAGGGCTGGCCTTCGGGGGAGCTGTGGGGGAGTTTGGACAGTTTGTGATGTTCCTACACAGTGCATGGCCTAAGAGCTCTCCAACCCTTTCTCAGAAAATGCCAAAACACGTAGGGAGCTCTTGGAAAGAGGCTGTGTTTGCACTTTTCCATGCTCAGCACTCTGCCCAAGTGTGCCAGGACACTTTGCTTCCCTTCAAACACGGGCAGGAAGGGCAGTGCTTGCGTCACAGCAACTTGCACAAGAGGCAGCGCTGACCGAGTTTTGTTGTTTTCTCACTTATTTACTCTGGATGCATTTTGCAATGGGAATCTTGGGCAAAAGAACTTCAGTGTTGCACTGCTGTTGGCCCACAGTGGTTTTTAAGCAAATTTAGTTGTATGGCTGAGTTACTTAAAAAAGGAAGAGGAAGAGAATTGTCGTCTCGTGCTCACATCTTGCAGCAGATTTGGGGGGCTACTCCACACACATGTTCAGACTGAACTACAGCACTACAGCTGGTGACAGATATACAGTAATGACAGGTTAGAGCGGCGGGCAGGAGGATGGAATCCCTAACAGTTCAACAAACATACTCAGAAGGAGTAAAAGCAACACTCTGCAGAAGCCTGCTGTCCTTGTATTTAGCAAAATGAATACTTTTGAAGACACCAAAAACCACTTCACATGTGTTTTGTAAGCCCATGGAACACTGCTTCTAACACTTCTAAGGAAGTTGTAAATTGGGACCTTAGACTGGATGGAGGACATTTCTCCCCATCTCCATCCTTTTAGTTAAAGTTTAAAGTACCAGGAGTTCCTCAACTGAGATGTGAGCTTGAATTCATTCATAAGCATGAATGTCTTTCTAGGGAAACTGTGTGTAAAGTGTTGCAGTTTCTGCAGTCTTTCTCAGCTTAGAATTCTTATCAGAAAGGAAAGTACTGCTGAAAGTAGAAGAAATGCCATTTAATACTGAGGGAAACATGAAATCCCTAAGCACAGGACCCTGACATGGCTGTGAGGAGATGCGGATCAGGAACCAAAGCATGCTCTGTGCTTACAGAAGGGTCCAGCTTACACACTACCAGGGCTGCCAGGCAGCCACGCAGAAAAACAAGGAAATCAACAGAGCTTTTAATAGAAGCTGCACAGGGAGCCACTCACCTATTTTTAGGGTAGGTACAAGCCATAGCTAAGTGCTGCAACTGGAGAAAAGCGCACGGTGTTTTCTGCTACCTCAGGGATGCCGTCAGCAGCAGGGTGCAGCCACGAGCCCTACACCCCAAACATCCTTCTGTACAGCCCCTGCCACGCCAGGGATGAACATGACCAACACAGGGCTTTTCCAAAGGAATAAGCAGGAGCTTAGGCTGCTTGTGGCTTGACCTGAATCAGAGGGATGATGTTGAAAGAGACAAGGTAGGTGTGATGCAGCTGGAGCCAAAGGTCTACAGGCAAAGCCCTGAACAGCTTACATCTGTTACAGCAGGACGCAGGCCAAGTTCAGCCACCCACCTGCCAAGCTGCAAACAAAGCCAGAGTACTGTCTAAATCTCATCAGCCCTGGGATCGTGGGGTATCCAGCTCTTTACTGGGGCATAAGGCACAGCCTAACCTGCACAGGATGTGCTATGGCCCAGCTGCACAGATCTGACAGTTTTTGAAGTCAGTCATGTCAGGCAGGAAAAAAGAGCTTTGGTCTTTTTCTGAGGGCCCAGGAAAGACTGGGTGAAAGAAGGTCTGGACTGTAAATCAAACACTTTCAGTCCTAGTATAGGTGGACTGAGAGTTCTTGGCTGAAAGGGGGCTCCTGGGGGAAGACTTCAGCTTAAGATGACTGCTGATCTGCACAGGTTCTTTGTCCCCAGCGTGCTGAAATCATCACAGCACAGTTTGAGCTGTTCTGCAGAACAGGGGCCAGAGTAGCAACCTGAACATGGAAACTCCAAACACAAAAATCCATTCTGTTATTTCTGCAACACTGAACGTGTCCACAGCAGCCAGGCAAGTACAAGGTCACCATTTGAAAACCTTACAGTCCAAGCTAAGTGACTTGTAACTTGCTGGGATAATGTGTGCTGGACATTGTGGTGCTGGTGTGTGCAGAGGAACAAGCAGACTCCTGAGCTCGAACTACAGCAGTGGGAAGTGAACATGGAAGTGATTCTCTTGGTGTGATGTAATAGGTAACACTAGCTCAGCAACCACTCTTAAAGGTGCTTAAAATCAAAAAGCACCTTCCTCTCAGCAAAGGTGGTACGTCAGCACAGTAAGGGCAAAGGAAGAATTCAAACTGCTCATTAAACCTAAGAACAGAGTGTAAGCATCATCCAGCACAGAAGAGAAGAACTTCAGGCAATGAGACACCAGAGACTTTTATTTTAACACCTTTGCTTCAAAGATGAGGGCTGCAGAGGGGTATTGAAGCCAGAGCCCTGACCTTCTGCGTAAGGTGAACAGCATTCTCACTTCCCTTCATGTCCTACCTCCCAGCACTGCTTTTGGCCAAAAGCCCCAACCCATTTACCACCTAGATTTCACTGCCAGGTGAACGGTTCCACCATACCTGCAGCCTGGCCTGTAGCTGAATCAGTCTCCACAGCCAGGGAGGCCAGCAGCAGCCAGAGGTGCCCTCCCTGCAACACCAATTCTAGGAAAAACTTGACAGGTGCCATCCCCATGTGACAAATCCTATGCTACTGAGTATCATACTACACCTACAGCCTCGTTTGGGACGGCGATGAGAGCTCATCACAGCAAGGGAGGTGCTGCCTGTTTGTCAACAGGCAACACCAGAAAGAAGAGGGAACCTCAAATCCTGCTTCCAGTAATATACAGAATCAGTGCTTGGCACAAGCTCTGGAAACCTTTTTCCTCATGAGTGCTTTAATCATGAGCTCGATCCTGCCAGCTCTCAGGCACATATGCTCCTCTTCCCAGTAGTGCCATGAAGCTTCAATCCTGCCATATGGTATCCTGGCCTGGTTTCAACAGGAGGAATAGGAGCAACCTGCCCCACCCTGGTTTTTATACCTCCCCGTAACAGCAGGGAAGGAACACACTTCACCCCAACCCCAGCTGAGGACAGTAGGAAAAAGTGGATCTCCAGCACGCCAGGCATGTAACACAGCCTCAGATATTGCAAATATATTGGCCAGAAAAGCTGTAGCTGCCCCACTCCCTGGAAGCGTTCAAGAACAGGTTGGATGGGGCTTTAAGCAACCTGGTCTAGTGAGAGGTGTCCTTGCCCGCGGCAGCGGGGCTGGAACCAGATGATCTTTAAGGTCCCTCCCAACAGACACGCTCGTCCACACGCCTGGCTTAGGGCTGAATGCGAACCGCAGGGCTCCAGCGGGTGCGTCACCGCCCCGCTCCCAGTCTGGCCACGGGTCAGCGAGCAGAGGGGAGGGAGTGGGGTGCATGCCAAGGTGTTGTCCTCACGGGCACCCAAGGACGTGTGGGCACTTTCCAAGCCTCATTCGGGGAACGAGGAACAGGGTGCAATTATTTAACGGTGCGGGCAAGCAGGAACCTGATGGGCCGGCATCGCTGCTGCTGCTGCCTGCAGGAAAGTAACCCGGGCTCTTCCCACACACTGCCTCCAGTAAAAAAAATCACCACTGTGAGTCAAGCTCATTCTACACAGAGTGCAACGCTGGGAGAGAACACCTCAGCTACTCGAGAGCGGTGTAAGGACACTGCCGCCCTGGGTGACCGGGCAGGTTACTCCAGCGATACCCGGGTTTACTCCGAGGGTGCCCTGTCACCCAGCTGGGTGACACCGAGCCACAACCCCCTGCAGCACCGGCGCGATGCCTGGCACCGCCTGTCGCGACTCTGCGGGATGTCGCCCATTCACACCGAGCGAGCGAGCGCCACGGCCTTTGCCTTAGAGCCGTAGGGCCGGCCCAACCCCAGAGAGGCGGCTGACGAAGGCACCAGGGCCGGGGCTGCCGCGGGCAGGAGAGCCCAGGTGCCCTTGTCCCGGTAGTACGGTCCCGCGCGGTTCCCGCACCTCCCCGTCCGATACCCACCTGTGCGGGGCGGCGCCCCCGGGGCGGGCGGGCCGCCCGCTGTTGCCCGCGGGGCAGCGGGGCCGAGGGGCGGCGGCGGCGGGGCGCGGGGCCGCGGCGGCAGCGGCAGGCGGGAGGCCGAGGCGGCGGGGGCGCAGCAGAGGGCGGGCAGCGCCGAGCAGAGGCAGCGTGCGGGGCTCTGGAACATGCTCCTGGCGGGACGGGGCGCGACCGGCTGGGATCGGACGGGAGCGACGGAGCAGCAGCTCCCGCGCCCGCCCGGCACCCGCGCTTATAGAGGCGGCGGCGCGCGGCGCGGCCGGCACATCCGGCACATACCACCCGCGCCCGGCGGGGGGGTGGGGACACACAGCACAAACACGCACCACGGGCGCCACCGCCCGCACCGAGCCCGCCCGCGCACAGCGGCGGAGCGGCGCTTCCAGCCGCCATCCCACACCTCCCGCTGCCGCGGCGGGCGCTGCGCGGGCAGGGCGCGTCCCGCCGCATCCCCCCCCTCGATGGCCACGGAGTGGAGTGGCCCGGCGGAGGTTTGCACGTCAGCGAGGGGCGCGCGCCCCCTCAGGGGCGTCAGGGCGGCTCCGCCTCCCCCGGCCGGGGCGTCACACGGGGGGAGCCGGAGCGTGGTGGCTCTTCGTGCTTCGCTCCCTCTGTGTCTCCCTCTCATTTCTTAGAGCTTTGGGTCTGGTGCCTTGTCTACAACTCCCGCGGGAGGGGGAGAGGAGGGGCATGCACTGGTCTCGTCTCTGTGGTGACCAGTGACGGGACCCGAGGAATGGCCTGAAGTTGTGTCGGGAGGTTCAGGCTGGATATCTGGAGAAGGTTCTTCACCCTGAGGGTGGTTGGGCACTGGAACAAGCTTCCCAGGGCAGTGGTCACAGCACCAAGCCTGACAGAGTTCAAGTGTGTGAACGATGCTCTCGGGTACACGGTGTGAATCTTGGGGATGGTCCTGTGCAGGGCCAGGAGTTAGACTCGATGATCCTTGTGGATCCCTTTCAACTCAGCATATTCTGTAATTCTGTTATTCTTGTGCCATTTTGTTGCTTTGAACCCTCTTGGCTCTTGACTAATCTCACCCTGATTTCATCCCCCGAGGCTTATGCTAATTCTGTCATTTCTCATGTGTAATTTTATCCATCTGTCTGTGTTCCTCATTTCTTTTTATTTGGATTATCAAAGCATAGATGGTGATGGTCTCACAAGCCCTCTACTGACAGTGTTGTTCTCTCTATGCTGCTTTTCTATTCAAAAAGAAAGTAAGTTGGGACGTGCGTAGAGCAGCTGCAGTTTCAAAGGTGGGTCTTAGATCTTGGTGCTTAAACTTCCACCTGGCTCTGGGTAGGCTCATTTAGCCCTCCCTAAGCAAAATGCTCTAATGATTAAATGATTTTAAGTGAAGGAAAAAAACAAGAAAGATAGTTAAACAATGGATAGGTACTTAGTACCCTGCTAACTTCTTCAGTTTTGTTTTCTGTGAAATGAAGCAGCCGTGCTGCCTGCGCTCAAAAGGGAACGCTGAGAGCACGGGAGAGGCAGCTGGAGAGCCTTGAAGGGAAAGGCTGGAGCTTGGATTTCTCTGCTTTCAGACACACGGACCACTCCTTGAAGATCTCTGTGCTCTGATTCACATCCTCTCTGCTTTAAATATGCACGGAAGAGACAGAGGCTTGATTGCCATGCAAGACTGGGAGCCCTGGTTCCTTGCTAACCAGACTCTGCACCTGACTGGGCTTGTCTGCTCTCAAGTCTGGACACCCTTATCAGAAGGGCAAACTTGTGATTAAGAGTTTATTTCCATGCTTCTTGTGTGAGATCATCTGTAACCAGCTTTTCCCTCCCTTTCTAGAAGACGAGACCCTTCTAGAAGGAAAGAGTGGTTGGTGATTCATGAGCTAGTCTAATGGCCCTGCCATTTCTGGTGGGATTTGGCAAAGAAAATACCTCCCGGCAGTGGTCCAAGGAATAGGCAGCCTGGGTTTTGTTGCATTATCTGTCACACTGTCACTAACAGATTAGAGGCTTGATGGCAGGGAAGCTGATGGCTTTGTGGGCCCATCTCTGAGCTCCAAGTCCTCAGCTCCTGTCGTGTTTTCTGACATTCAGGTGCCTCTTAGCCTGGTGGCTCTTCATTCTGCTCTCCTGCTCCATGGGAAAACCCTTGGGTTTCGCCCAGGGCTGGCTGCTCATCCTCCTCACCTCCAGTTCCAGCAGATTTCCCGGAGCTGCTTGTTGCCCAGAGAACTCAGCAGTCCCTAAGTAGCTAATGACTGGTGGTACAATATGTTTGTTATTCATTTTATTTCTCTGATGACTCAAGTAGCTGGGTTGAGGCCAAACCACCTCCTCGTGTAATCTCCAAGGAGGAAAGACAGAAGATTTCCTTCTTCCCACTGTACTGAATGTGCTTTTCCCTGCTCTTTTGAGTGCTGGCTTTCTTTAGCCATGTGTGACCAAGCCAGTGAGACAGTAACAAAGGCGGGTGTGAAAGAAACAAAAGTTACTGATGATGCACAGGGCTGTTTTCTGGGCATACCTCTCTCTTCCCAGATTTGGGAAAGAGTGGTGATTTAGCTCCAATATGTGAATCACTGTTTGCTTGGCATCCCTTGGGAATGGTCCTAATAGCCTTCCCGGAAAATAAAATCCTTTCAGAAATACACAGAAGATGCAATTAATCTTATAAATAACTAAATGTATATGTGACTTAGAGAAAAAGGTTTCTTTGGAAAATGATCTCAGCTGTCCCGTGTGCATCTGACTGATGTTTCCACTAGCTGGGAACAGTGAGCAAATGGAGAGAAGGGGTCCGGGTCAAAGGGTGCATAGGCTGTGAGAAATGCTTTTTTCTTAGCTTTTTGACCTGTTCTTACCCTGGAGATGTTTCAAACATGCTGGACAGGCTGTTAATCCTTTTCCAATGCTGTGGAAATCCCAGGTCCAGCAGGGTGTTACTAAAAAATACAGCTATGACTGAAGTTATTCCAGCATGTAGTAAAAGCAATGCTTTCCACAAACTCCACTTCCTTGGGATTAGTAATGGTCTGAGGATAATAATCCTTCCACGTCCTTGGTCAGTCATCTCTTCCCAACCGGTCATCCCTACATCAGGGAAGTGTTTGTGCTGTGTTTGGTACAGCTGCTTTAACTGCCAATGTTTCCAGCTTGGAAAAGCATGCTCTAAAAAGGAAATTACCATCTCAGGGGAGCTGGACAGTAGTCACTGAAGTGTCACAGTGGATTAACAGGAAAAAACCTATGGCAGTTTGACTCTGCGCAGCACAGATGGCTGTGAGCGTGGTGATTTTGAACTTCAGGGTGCACGTGCATCCCAACACCTTCTTGCTTCTCCCATGAGAAATGCCATCGCCTGGGCTGCTGGCTGCATTCCTTTGGGATGACTTGCACCACCAGGATGTCCTTTTTCCCTGTCACAGCACCAGGAACCCTTCACCTCCCCACCATCACCCTGCTATGGGTCTTCCTTCCCTCCCTGAGCCGCAGGGCTGGGAATGCTTATGTGCTCTCCCCTCCCTGCCTCACCTTGGTTTTGGGCACCTGGGAAGAAGCTGGGAAACAGAACTCGGTGGCAGACGTGGGGATCACAGTAGCTTTGAGGGAGGCTGCCCCAAAACAGGTTCACCTGAGGTGAACAGGTGAACAGGGCAGAGATTTGGATGTTTAAAACAGGCAGCCTTGCCATAGTTAACTGAGTTTTCAAAGCACTCAGCTCTTGATTTTTCAAGCGTTTCAGTCACTAAAGCATCTCAGAAGGGGGAGCTTTGCCACTTGAACCCAATATCTGTCTCGCTGAGAAATGAGTAGCATTAAGTCTGGACAGCAGATGGCAAAGTGTTCCACACGGCTGAGGAAGAGAGAGGGAATGATAGTGACACTTCTGACATCCTGTGAAAGAAACGTGCATGTATATTCATCTCAGATATGGATGCACACTACAGTGCAGATGATTAAATGGAGTACTTCATTTCTGGAAATAGGTGTCTGTCTAAGAGGTGTCTCCCGTGGAATCAAAATTTCCAAGACTTCCACCTCTCTTTGGAGCCACTGCAGCCACTTGTGCTACAGTGTTTAGCACATTTAGCAAATATTTCCATTTAACTCTTAGTCTGCCTTCTGAGAAACAGAAATGGGCACATTACCCATTTAGGATGTCACTGTGACCTGGCTGTAGCTTCTGAGCTACATAATGGTGCTACAGATGGTGACAGGATTTTTAGGGGTCTTTAGAAAGGTCAGGCTCTGTGAGGCCTGGCAGGGCTGCCATTTCTTGGCCTGCTGGAAAGAACTGGAACACTTAGTGATGCAGGAGTGGTTTGCCTGCCTCTACTGAGAGACTGAGGCAAACAGGGGGCAGGTGAGTGAGCACCACAGGAAAGCCTGGGATTTGCACAGGTTTTCCAGAGCCCAAATCAGTAGAAGTGCTGCCCGTGTGGAGCTTCTGGTGGTGATGCCATTCCCAGCACACAGGCATGCAGGGGCAGAAGGAGTGGGTCTGGGGCTGCCCAATAGCACCCTTCATTGCTGCTGGTCTTCCCTGCTGCCCATTCAGAGGGGGTCTGCAAGGGCTGCTCTCTGCCACATGCTCCAAGGGGCTGAAGATTCATCCACCATCCCAATGACTACCTCGGAGTATCTTAGGCTGAGGTAAGGACAGTCTTCTTGGCGTAAGCATCATTTTTCCTTCCTTCTTTCTTGCCTTCCCCTTCAAGATGTGAACAGAGCTCTCTTGGGAGGAGGTTGGTTTAGTGTCCTGAAGGATGCAGTTTTTGGGGACAGGTTGTGTAGAGGAGGCTCCTTCTCTCTCCTCTCTCCCTGTCTCAGGGAGGTCTGGCTGGGATCTGCTCTTCCCCCCCTTTCAGCAGATTACAAAATGATGTATTTGATTCCTGCATCAACAAAACAACCTCCAAGCAGGGGCTGAAATTCCAGCTTGCCAGAATGATGACCCTGAGCTGAGAGGAGAGGGGAAGAGCGAGAAGGGCCATACTAGAGAGCTTTAACTCTAGTTTTGTACAGTTCTGAATTATTTTGTTATAGAACCTCACCCTGGCATTTGTAAGGGGCAGTGAAGGAACTTCCTGTGATCCTCCCCTTTATGCATTTCATTGGGCAGCTGAGGTCTGGGGTGGAGAACATCTGCCTGGCTTTAAAGTTGAGCATCTCTGCCTGCTGCCTATGGCATGGCCTGCAACACACCCAAGCACTGGGTATCTGGCATGTGTGTTGCTTGTGCAGGTTGTGTTGCTTATTAGCCGGCTTGAGACTGAGGGGTGAAGTGTAACAGGGACCACCTGGGGACTGACCCCCTGCACCTGACTGTTGTAGCCCTTGGGGCCATCCAGTGTCCTCCTTCCAAACACACTTAACAAAGCTCAGCTGTTTTTCCAGTGAAAGGGATGCAATGGCTACACCCTGCGCAATCAAAACAGTCATATATCAGAGTTTTCATAGTCAGAGTTTTCCTATCTGACTAACTGTAGTTTGGAAGCTGCTCTGCAAATCCTACGTGGGATATTTATGTCCTAAGCTACATTGCTACTCTCCGGCCTCCTCTTGAAAAGCAAAGTGATGGGTACTGATGGAGAACTCTCTGACGTAGAGATGCTGAGGATCCTTGGCTGGGCACTGCAATCCTCAGGTGAAACGATGCTAATGTTCATCTTTGGAAATAAATGCAACTTCTATTTTTCAAACTCTGTTACCCTGATTTCACGGTACCTTGATGCCTCAGTAAAGAAGCCCACCAGTCATCAGTTTCCAGCCAGTACGTTTGTAACTCCAGAGGGGCTGGAACGGCGGAGCTGGCAGCCAAACCTGGGACTGGACTTTCCCCGGGGGGTTGTGCTCCAGAGCAGTGCAGTGGTTGGGCTGCCTGGAGGCAGGGCTGCGGGCAGCTCCCACTTTTTGGTCAGCATCCAGGCCTGGCCAGCACCCAGCTCTGCCCTGCGTCACTGGCCCTCCTGGTTATGTAAGTGCCCCTGTGCCGGACGTGCCCCCAGTGGCTTTCGTAACCAGGCTGACGGGGATCTGGAGCAGGGGGGGCTTTGCCCTCTATCACACCAGGCACCCTGTGTTCCCCCAGCACAGAGGCTTTGCCCAGTTCTGACTGGCCCCAGCAGGAGTGAGAAATCCTGAAATTCAGGCTGAGAAGCTCTTGGTGCTGCTGGACACATCAAACTGGAAGCTCCCTTCTGGGCATTGAGTGGGGCTTTGGGCTTCTCGCTCTTTCTGCAGCCACCCTGACCTCAGGGCACCTTGGTGTGCGTGGCTGAGCAGCCCCTGACCCCTCTGCCCCGGTTCCAGGCAGGTGCGTTGGCAAAGCCCGAGGTTTTGCTAACCCCCAGCCAAGAAGGCCAAGGTTGGGAACTGGCTGCTTCCCAGGTGTCTGGCTGGGCCATCTCCTCTCCTCAGCTGGGTGCCAGGGGCACTGCTTTGCCAAGGTAATGCAAACAAATCATGGCAAAGGCCACCTGGACTGTTCTAGAATAGGCTTTTCACCCTGCAAAGATGTTATACTTATTCAACAGCAAATTCCTCTGTGAATTCCCTACTTGTAGTGCATCAAACATAGCTTTAATTAGGAATAGATTTTTGTTCTTTCAGGGCAGCTTTAGGAGATGTGAAGAGGTACTTTTCCCTCTGCGAGCACGTGCTGCTGTTTTCCTTGGAGAACAGCTGAACTTCTTGCATTCATTGTGTTCTGGTTTCTTTTTTTTGAAAGAAGTTCTAGCTTCACCCCTATATCCCAGGGATATCAGGGGATTGATGCAGGCTCTCCCTAATAGACTTTCAGTAGCTTTAAATCCAGAAGAGAATTTGCAGAGAAAGTCATGGTCGGAAGCTGATCCCTGCAGGGTAAAAGCATCACTCTGCCTGGCATGGCTGTCTTCAGGGGGCTCTCAGGGCTGTCTTCTGAATCCCTTCACTGCCATGTGTCAGTCTCCCCCGACTTCTCTTCAGCTTGTTTTGGTGCTTTACCATGCTGGGGTTCAGCTCAGACCTGGCTTTTGGAGCTGGTGCCACCTCCATCTCCTGCTCCTGGGTGTACGGCATGGAGAAGGCAGCCCATGACTTACAGGGCTGGCTGATGCCACAGAGACGCTCCAAGGTGGCAGTGATCTGAAGCAATACTGGTTTTATTATCCCTTGACTGCTTAGTGAGTTTTCCAGGATCCTTCTGAGCTCCTGCTGAGGGTGTGTAAGTGACATTTAATCCTTGGTTTCTCTATATGAAGTAGGGATGCACTCAGTGACTGACAAGGTGAGGGCAGTGAAAGAGTAATGCAATAGATCCAAGAATGTGATGTAAAGATACTTCTGGGGTGATTTCAGTATTTCTGTGAGGGCAGGGGGCAGTTTTGAACTACTTGGGAGCTCCCTACTACAAAGGAGCTGAGTTGCCCCGTTCCAGTGGGGTGTGTGGGCGGGGCCCCGGCAGGGTTCTGTGATTGTGACATCCAGGTGACAACCGGGCACCTGCCAAGGGCAGAGCCCGTCCCTCGGCAGCACTGCGAGGTGTGCGGCCGCACGGATCGCAGCGCAGCTCTCGCTCCGAGAGGTGTTGGTTGTGTGGAAAGCGAGTGTTTGTCTGGACCCTCACTCTGTGAGGTGTTCAGTGTTCGGAAAGCCTCTGTTTGTCTGGACCCTCACTCTGTGAGGTGTTCATCGTCCGGAAAGACCAGGACCATCACTGTGCAAGGCATTCCTTGTTGGGAAAGCCTATGTGTATCTGGACCCTCACTCTGTGAGGTGTTCAGTCTTTGGAAAGCCTCTGTCTCTCTGGACCACCACTCTGTGAGGCATTCCTTGTCCAGAAAGACTGTGTATTTCTGGACTGTCAGTCTGTGAGTCCTTCCTTGCCTGGAAAGCCTGTTTCTGCAAGGTAATTCCCTGCTTGTCTGGAAGGGAGGGAAAGGTCCCTGTGCTGAGAAAGAGATGGTTGAAGGGAGATGCATCAGATCTGTGGCAAAAGCGACTCTCAGCACGGGAATTAGTCATAATTACAGCTGAGCTGTTGCAGTCAGTAACTGCAGAGGAAGATGGTCAAGCCTATGTGGAAAAACCCCAATTGCGGAAATGAATCCAAAGCTCTTGATTTATTATTTTTTCAGTGTTAATAATCAAGGCTATTATAATGAGAAATATGTACATTATATGTATTTAATGACACTGGCCATTAAAATTTTTTAATAATTCAAGGCTAGGCTGGATGGAGCTTTGAGCAACCTGGTCTAGGAAAAGATGTCCCTGCCCATGGCAAGGGGGTTGGAACTTTAAGGTCCCTTCCAGCCGAAACCATTCTCTGGTTCTGTGGTTCTATAGTTCTATGGTTCTATGCTTCTATGGTTTTATGGTTCTATGAATCCAGTCTCTTCTGTGAGTGTCCATCAAGCTGTCCCTTCAAAGAACTGAATGGCTGCAAAGACATCAAGTTTTTCCCACCCTGTCAATGTTAGTGATGGCAGCGTTGAAGGGAAGGGAAGCTCTTGACTGGGTTCATAAGGTTCAAGTTTCCAAGGAGCTTCCATGTTCAATTAGAGCAGCTGTTTGCCTGTGGCTTGATGGAGAAAGGCAGAAAGAAGGGGGATCAACTATATCCAGCTAAGGGATACAGCAATTGGTCTGGTCACATACAGCACTGTAAAACACTTGTAAAAATTCCAGTCAGGGCCACTTGGGTGCCTGTTTTCATCTGTAGGTGGTGGCTGTACAGTCACATAGGACAGTAGCTGGTAAGGAAAACCTTGGCATCTTGGAGTCCCCTGAAACATCAGTTTGTGGGGAGCTGCAGGGAAAGATGCAACACACATGACTGACAATGAGTGCAGCAACAAACTGTATCAAGCTTTTTGAGCAAAAAGCATAAATAACAAGCAATAACAAAGAATAGAACAGTTGCTTGTAGAACAAGAAAAGCCATCCGAACTAAATTGTCCAGCCAGGCAAGTGGACATCAAGGAGTAAAGGCTGTGTTACTAAACACAGCTTGGTTGCAAAAGCATTTGTGCGTTGTGGAAAAAATAATGCCAGGTTAATAAGGCCTACACAACCTGAAATCCATGGGGCATCAGTGTGGTTGAAAACCTGGTCCTGTCAAAGGCATTTGCAAAAGTCTTGGATTGTTTAGATGTCTAGATGTCACTGCTGGCTGCTCACAGGCTTTATAGCCGTGTTAGGGATAAGCTGGTGACAGAGCAGGCTTCCCTCCCACACTGTTTAGTCCCGTGTGTGTGTGTGTGCATCTCTGTCTGCCTAAGTTAGGACAACGTGAGGCCCATCCAACAGAGTTGAAAGAAAGCTGGAATGACTTCTTCTAGAACACACTTCCTACTTGTGCCACCTTCCTTTGTTTTTCCATTCCAATGGGCACCTTGTTTTTTTAAGGCAGTTGATTTAGGTTACGGTTTTCATGATTCTGAGCAGGGAAGAAATATGAAATGTTTATTTGCTTTCAGATCCATACTCTCCTCTTAGTGTGTGTGTCTGTCCCTTAGGCTTTCCAGCTGCAGGCTGAGGGGGGGTGTGACAGGATTCCCATCTGTAGTGGCCTGTGTCTTTCTGTGGCTTGCACCATTGCTGTCTGATGGTCCCTTCCCTGCTGAGTATCTGTTTTTTCTCTTCTAGGGAAGCTGACTCATATTGGAGTCACTCATAATGGAACCCCAAGACAAGGGGAAGAGCGACGAGAGGTAGGAATTCGTTGGGTGTAATCTTGACCTCCCAGGTGCTGTGACAAGTGTCGAGATGGTTTCAAAAAACTAATGCCCTCCTCAACGCAAGAAATATAATCCCTGAGGGGGAGAAGTAAGTCAGGATTGTCATGTCCCTGAGAGTGGCTTCAGAGCATGCTGGTATTTTCATAGCTTCTGTGACAGACCCAGGCCTGGGTGACGTCCTGCTCTTCCAACCCGCTTAGGTACAGTGTGCCTCTATCCCTAAATGAGGGGAGGATTTTAAGTTCCCAAGTACCCAAAAGCGAGATTAAGACAGAAACCAGGTCAAATGTTGGAATCCAAAATGATAACTCAACTGGATTAAGTCCAAGAGAGGCAGAGAGAGAAAAAGGAAAAACAGAAGGAAGTGGGAAAAGCTAGGAATAATGACAGGAAGCCTGGAAAAGTTTGCCACCACCATGAACTCAGTGGTGGATCTTGTCTTTGGTGGTGTAGGGAGAGATCTCTGTTGAGTCATTCTCTGGTCTTTGGTCTCTGTGGCGTGAGCGGAGTTCTCGCAGCGAGTGTCGGCCCTGCAGCGCTCCCTGAGGGAGTGTGTGTGTTTGTGTGTGTGTTTCTGTGTGTTTGTGTGGTTTTGTGTCTGTGTGTGTCTGTATCTGTCTGTGTGTCTCTGTGTCTGTGTGTCTGTGCCCTCGGTCCGTGCCAGCCGTGCCTGTGGGGAAGGTTTCCCGCCTTGGCCCGCACGGCACAGCCCTGGTTCACTGGTGTATGTGGGGCAGTCCCACCCACACGGGGCCTGAGCTGACTGTGGATCTCCGAGGCTTTCTGCCTGGCTTCCCAACAGGGAGCCTGGGGGAACTCTGCAGTGTTCTGAGTTACAGTATAGGCCAGGTTTTCAAAAGCTGGTAAGAGCAGATTGACAAACACCCTCCCTGGGCAGGGGAATGATGGGCAGAAATGGTGTCTCCACAGGGGTGTGGAAGCTTATATTAAAAAAGGTACAGACTTCTCTTAAAAAAGTGGGTGTTTCAGTAGACAGCAGACCCTTCTGGTCTGAATTAGGAATGTCATCTAGTGCGATACAACTTATTTCTTCTAAAGAACAGCCTTCAGTATGAGACGAGGAAGCTCTGCCTCTTCTTCAGGGATGTTTAAACTTGCAGGAGCTGATGATTGGTGTGGTATTTGAGAAAATGTCAGTGCTGGGGAAGACAAGGCTCTTCCCTTGCAAACTGGGGCACTTCAGAAGAAGAATCTAGGAATTCTATGTAGACAGTAGACTGGAGACACAGGAGAGAGATACCTGCATTGACTATGCCTGCATGCTTTTCCTTCCCCAATGTCCATAAATATTAGAGCAGGAGATTCCCTTCTTTTGCCGTAGTATTTCACTGATGAGGTGTAGTTTAAAGGGTCTGGTTTTCCATGAAGTCACTGTGCAGGGCGTGTGACACAGCTTTCCTGGTGTTTTGCTGTGGGGCTGGTGGAATTGAGTGCAGGCAGATGTGGCTGAGGAGGAACAGGGCAATCTGAGCTGCTGTTTTCTGAATTTCTGAGATTTCAATTTATGGGATTGTTTTAAACGCAACTCCGTGGTCTCCCAGGTCAGCATCTTTACAAATATCCATTTAAAGTAGAGAGTGAGTTTTCAAGCCTGATTATAAAGTAGGCAAAATTCAATCTCTGAAAGTGGCAATACCTTCAAAATAGTGGATTCCTTTTACCCTCAGGTGGAGAGTTGGGGCAGAAGTCTGAAGGAGAACAAGAATAGTAGTAAACTCAGACCAATCATTGCAAGGGGATCTGCCAGCTCATGTGCTTATGACTCCCGTTGACTGCTTCTCAATTTGTTTCACAATTAAATGGGTGGACAGTTTTTCCCTTCCCACCCTTCTTGATGAATGGTATCAGGAGTAGAAATACCTTTTAAGAAAGATGCATGCTGTCCCTTGTGTGTCTCATTCCTATGTGGGACAGCAAATGCTTGCCCCAACTGATTTGTCAGCTGTAACCAGTCTGTGATTTCCCAATTACTGTCATGCTGGACATGTGGCATTGTCTGACAACCATGGGTTCTGCACAGAGCATAAAGGGGTTGATAACTCTGGTGTAAGATGTTCATCATCCTTTCTCTTTCTCTTTGTCAAAGCTTGTCCGAGAAGAACAGAGACTTGCTTCGTCTTGAGGCACAAGAGAAGAGGAGACGGGAGGCTCCAGGGGAGAAAGACCAGTTCCCTGGGAAGACTCCCATCTTTGCAAAACCCTACAAGGTAATGGCAGTGGGGTATGGAGGGGAAGGAGAGGAAGGAGAGCTGTGTCTTCTGCATGGGGTGTAGCAGACTTGAGCATGGTACAGGCGAACACAGCATCTTCCCATCTGCTGAACTTCAGTTCCTCAGAGGATGTGCTTAAAGCTCTGCTGGCTGTGCAAGAGCACGATGGACTTGGGGTTGGTCTCCTGCAGTAGGAGGGAGAGTGCTCAAGAGCAACTTGGCTGCCCGTTTGCAGCTGTGGTGATAAAAAAGTGGATCTGATGTTGGTGCTCCTGAAGGCTGCAGGTGCACCTGCAAGCTTGGCTTGGAATGACTGGCAGTGGCCAGAGCAGTCCCGTTTGCTTTGGAGAGACTGTCAGGATCAAGACCAGCTTGCCTAACTTCATTTGTGCTGACACATGGTGATTCAGTTAAGATCCTGAGGAATGCCTCTTGCTGAGCTGGATCTCTTGGGGTGCTCCAGAACTTTCCAGCTCTCTGTTCTTGTGTTGCAGACTGATAACAAAGATGCGCTGTCAAGGCGCATTAGGAACGTCCTCGGAGATTATAATGATTTCAAGGAGTACATGAGGAAGAATTTGCGGAAGGTCATATGGTTTCCAAAGAAGATCAAATCCAGGTCACAGACCAGGAGCAACTGTCGTGAACCGAGCTCCAGACAAACCAAGACATTTCAGAGCTCAGTGACAGAACAACCGCTTAAAAATTCGAAGACATCAGAATCATCTGAGCTTGAACCTTTCCTGGAGAAAACCAACTCCACGGATGCGCCATCCATTGAGGACATATTGAGGGTAGGTGCTCTCAAAGAACAGAGCTCTGTGTTTCCTTCTATTTTGCGTGCATTAAGGTAAGGGGTGGGGAAAAACACAGCGCTCCACTTCTGTTCACTCAGCAAATGTTTCTGTTGCTGCAAGTGTGTTGTGGGCTGTGCTGAGGAGCAGTAAAGATCAAAGTCAGCCTCAGATACAGCTGGAGTTGTCAGATCAACTTTGCTTTCAGGGTGTGAGTGTAATACAGTCTAGTGCAGTTCAAGAGCCACACTGACAAGGCATGTGAGACAGACAGAGCTGCTCCATCCTCAAGTCAGGGGTTGCCTTTCCTGAGCTTCCTTCCCCCAGAGGCACTGTACATGCTGCCTCGTGTCCGTGCTGCCAGCACCAGCCCTGAGCAGGACCATGCACCTGAGTCCTTGCACCCGCCTGTGGATGGCACTGCTGCTGCTCCTTCCCTGGAATTCCAGTCTACTCGTGCAAAGCCAAGCCAGGTCAGATGCAAAACTGTATCCTGGTGTCCAAGCTGGCTCTGTGAGCAGCACACAGGCTCCCACTGTCTAGGTCTGAGTCCATGTCACCCCTTCCCTGTGCAAGATGTGAAAATGCTGTGTGCTGGCTGGGGTTGCAGCCCGAGGACTCCAGCTGGAACTCCGGAATCCCTTTGTGTTTCACCAGTCAGCCTGTGTTCTTGCCTGTTAGGAATGCATATCACTAGTTTTGTAGGCACCCCGGGGAAATGTGAAACTTCCTCTCTGTGTCTCAGCAAATATCCTGAGAGCTGCTTCTCTCAATTGTTTTCCAGGAAATGACCTTCACAATTTCACGTCCTGTGTCACCTCTGCAGTCGCCTCCAAAAGCAGACCCAAGCTCAACAAAGGTAAACCAGCCCCTTTTTGCCAGGGCTGTTGGTGAAGTACAAGAGAGCTTCCTGCCTCTTGCATGTGCTTTCACCTGCTTTGAAATGCAGAGGCAGCCTGGGCCTTTGCAGGCAAAGCTCAGCTGCTTCAACAGCAACTCAAGGAAAGCAACTGCCCTTCTGAAGGGGCTTTTAGTCCTTACCAGCATTTTGTTATTCATAGTCTTACATGCCATGCCTAGAGCAGTTGGTAAGCAAATGTTTGCTGAGTGCCTGCTGGTCTCATGTCAGGAAAATCCCCAACAAACTCATGCTGCTTCCCTCTTTCTTGTCTCAGCAAACCAACTCCACAGATGCGCTGTCCATTGAGGACATTTTGAGGGTAGGTGCACTCAAAGAACAGAGCTCTGTGTTTCCTTCTATTTTGCGTGCATTAAGGTAAGGGGTGGGGAAAAACACAGCGCTCCACTTCTGGTCACTCAGTGGGTGTTGCTGTTGCTGCAAGTGTGTTGTGGGCTGTGCTGAGGAGCAGTAAAGATCAAAGTCAGCCTCAGATACAGCTGGAGTTGTCAGATCAACCCTGCTCTCAGGGTGCGAGTGTAATACAGTCTAGTGCAGTTCAAGAGCCACACTGACAAGGCATGTGAGACAGACAGAGCTGCTCCATCCTCAAGTCAGGAGTTCCCTTTCCTGACCTTCCTTCCTCCCAGGGCACTGTCCGTGCTGCCAGCGTGTTTTGCCAATTGACAGGTGACAGAGAGGACACAAACACCAGTAGAGGGAAGGGTCCTACTTGATTAGCAATATTAAGGCAACACCAAACCAAAATACTGCATTTAATATGGCAGTAAGCTTAGCACGTGCACCGTTTAGGCAACAACCAAACTGAGCAAGGTAATGCATCTAATCATTCCTATACCAGCAAAGAACAGTGATAAAGAAGATACATCCCCAGTTACCCCGTTAATCCGTTACCCTCATCCAGACGGCTTCATTTGCTGGGAAGCCCCGGTCACAGTGAAGGGTGGGAGAACCACTCCCGGTTCCTGGGGAATCCTATGCAGTACATCCACTCTTAGGTGAGGTCTCCATCTTTGCTCTGTGAGCAGCACACAGGCTCCCAGTGCCTGGGTCTGAGTCCGTGTCACCCCTTCCCTGTGCATGATGTGAAAATGCCGTGTGCTGGCTGGGGTTGCAGCCCGAGGACTCCAGCTGGAAGTCCGGCATCCCTTTGTCTTTCACCAGACAGCCTGTGTTCTTGCCTGTTAGGAATGCATATCGATATTTTTGTAGGCACCCCGGGGAAATGTGAAACTTCTTCTCTGTGTCTCAGCAAATATCCTGAGAGCTGCTTCTCTCAATTGTTTTCCAGGAAATGACCTTCACAATTTCACGTCCTGTGTCACCTCTGCAGTCGCCTCCGAAAGCAGAGCCAAGCTCAACAAAGGTAAACCAGCCCCTTTTTGCCAGGGCTGTTGGTGAAGTACAAGAGAGCTTCCTGCCCCTTGCATGTGCTTTCACCTGCTTTTGAGCCCAGTGGATTTCGAGGTGTGAAGCAGCTGCTTCCAGTGCACTGTTTTGCTGAGAATTAGAAGCGATTGTGCTGCTGAGTGGTTTGGAGTGTGCTGAGGTGGTGGCAAAATGATCTTTCCTCTTTTCGATTGATTTTAGCAAGTTTTGTATTTTTAGAGTTGTAAGACTTTTGAGCCAGAGGAGGTAGATGTTGATGTACAAAAGCCATTTTAACTTCATTGTCAACAAAAGATATTTGCTGATTCTGTTAAGCTGCTTGGCACTTCTTGTAAAGTTTTTAAATACTTCTTCAAAGATGTACCTACCCCTAATGTGCCACCAATACATTTTTGGTGGCAGTAGCACGTATCATTTCTGTGCATGCTCAGGTATGTCAGGCCAGCTTGGACTCTGAGACACTTCCCAGTCAGACCCTGACAAGCTAGTCAAAGTGTTTAGTCCAGTGGGTAACACCTGGGAAACCAGTCATTGGAAAAGTGCTATTGAGAGAGCTGATTTATTTCATTCTCAACATGCACTTTGTCTTTCTTTCTAGGACATGGATGGCTCTGCAGCTCAGAATCAGGGTAAGCAGAAATCCAAAGCAAACACCCAGTTATGTATTGACAGGTCAGGTTGTGTGTGGTGTGTGATATGTTGTGGGGAACATCACTTGTTTACATGGATTAAGAAGGGTGATTTCCTCTGCTTTGTTGAACAGGGATGACTTTAGAAATGGCCACAGAGACTGTAAACATTCATTACCTAGAAATGAAGGTAGCAGTCCAGCAGGGCACAAGCAGTATTTCATTAGGAAACCCCCTTCGGAAACCCCACTGGGAAAGCCCATGGAGTGATGAATAATCTCAGTGGCAAACATGTCCCGGAAGAAAGTGACTTTCCAATCTGCTGCTCAGAGATCATAGGGTGAAAGAGGCTAGAAGTGAGGCAACTTAATCCAACCTATTCCTGTTTGATGTGCAGAGCAGTCTGGCACAGGCTCAGGAACATTGCCGAGCTCTCAGCCCAGAACATCGTAAGTAACCAGACTCTGTTCCCAGCTCTACTGGGCAGTTTCTTAAAAGAACCTGGAAGGCACAAAAACTGGTGCTCCTTGAGGATTCTGAAGATTAAGTTTTATCAGTCTGGTTTTTCTTAGACAACTTGAGTGCAGGGAATTTTCACCCATGAAACATTAATATTTCCGGATGGACTCACGGAAAACTTTAGGCTGGAAAAGGCCTTTAAGATCATCAAGTCCAACCATTAATCCAGCAATGCCAAGTCCACTAAGCCATGGAATGGTTATATTATCTGTGTTGAAAGCAAACCAAAACTGAAGAGAAAACCCCCGAAGTATTAATGTCATAGCCTTGGGGAGCAGTGCAGGCTGAGAGCATGGGAGTCTCTTCCTGTGCAAGGATCAGACTCCTTCCCCCCTGCAGGCTGGGCCAGGGAGCCTTTTGTGAGCAGCATTCCCTCCCTGAACTTGGTCTTTGCTGCCTCTAGATGGCAGCCCTTGTTCCTGACCTCCATTGCCCAATATCCCCAGGTCAGCTGGAAAGCCCAATGAAATGCCTGGTTGTGTGTTACCATTTTACCACCCATTCAGGCAGTGACAGGCTTTTGCGGACTGGACATGCCAAACGTTCAGAAGGGATGGGGGAAGTTGGTTTGTTTTGGCAAGCCCAACCCAAATCTTGTTCAGAGTCTGGTGCTTTGAGAATGTGTCTGCCTTGGCTGATATTTCTGTTCTGGTTGTAGTTTCAGATGGCTCCAAAATGTTCCTCAGCTCAGTGACAGTGAGGAGAGTGATGACAACCAGGTCAGCTTTCAATGTTGTATCATCTCACCTTGTTCCATTGCTCTGAGTTCCTTGAGCTAACCTTTCCTTCCCCTCTCCACTTTGTTTTTGTGAATAAAACAGGTTCTTGAACAGCCACCTTCTGCACTTGCTCCTCCAAGATACAGGTTTGTTCCCAAACTACTAGCTAGACCAAATTAGGAGAAAAACAAAACTCTGATTTCTCTGAGAGGGAGGTGGGAAAGTGTCCTTTGCTTTTCCTGTAGCCACAGGCTTTGGTTCCTGGCTGCCTGAGGGTGTTGTTGAAAACTGGCTTCAGCTGTTTGGGGTTTTCCTGAAAGCCCCAGTTAGAAATGTATAATCCAGGCATGCTGGAGTTTGCTTATGAACCAGAACTGTGTTAATGTGTGTCGAGTGCCTTCATAGGAGTGTTAAAGAATTTCTGTAGGTAATGGGGATAATGTTTAGATAAGGAAACCAAAGTTTTATTCCAGGATTTTACTCCTCTATTGCCATGGAATCATAAAATCAAATCACTCAGGGTGTTTAGAGGTGACCCACAGAGCTGTAAATCTCGTTCTCTTCGTTCATACCTTGACATGAAAGAGTGTGAAGATTTGTGTAGTTTTCCTAAAAGACCTCAGGAACACCAGTGTTCTCCTCCTTTTTCCAGGATGATGGCGTTCATTGGTGATCATTCATATTTGTTTTCTTGCTGTGAACTGTGCTGTGATGAGGGGTTGGCATCTTATTTTTCTCTTACGCCCATGAGAAGAATTTCTCAGAGAGAGCTCTTGGATGGAAATGAGGTTGCAATGAAGAGAGTTGTGACCTGATTAAGTAAAATCGCTGTCCTGGTTCCTAGGCTCTTTCTCTCATTTTTGGAAGGACACTGGAGGAATTCTCTGGGTTCATGAGTCAGGCCCCAGCCAGTTTCCAGAAGGAACAGGAAATAGCGTTGACTCTTGTATGTGTGTCAGGAGACTTCAGCAGGAAAACAAGGAGCCCTGTGACAGGAGAAATATTGGCACCCTTGAGCACAGAGAGCATGAACATACACAGCTTCTGGTGCACAGAGGGTGCTTTCTGTCCCTTGGGGAGCAGTGCAGGCTGAGAGCATGGGAGTCTCTTCCTGTACAAGGATCAGACTCCTTCCCCCTGCAGGCTGGGCCAGGGAGCCTTTTGTGAGCAGCATTCCCTCCCTGAGCTTGGTCTTTGCTACCCTTGTTCCTGACCTCCATTGCCCAATATCCCCAGGTCAGCTGGAAAGCCCAATGAAATGCCTGGTTGTGTGTTACCATTTTACCACCCATTCAGGCAGTGACAGGCTTTTGCAGCCTGGACATGCCAAACGTTCAGAAGGGATGGGGGAAGTTGATTTGTTTTGGCAAGCCCAACCCAAAACTTGTTCAGAGTTTGGTGCTTGAGAATGTGTCTACCTTGGCTGATATTTCTGTTCTGGTTGTAGTTTCAGTTGGCTTCCAATTGTCCCTCAGCTCAGTGACAGTGAGGAGAGTGATGACAACCAGGTCAGTTTTCAATGTTGTATCATCTCGACTTCTTGCATTGCTCTGAGTTCCTTGAGCTAACCTTTCCTTCCCCTCTCCTCTTTGTTTTTCTGAACACAACAGGTTCTTGAACAGCCACCTTCTGCACTTGCTCCTCCAAGATACAGGTTTGTTCCCAAACTACTAGCTAGACCAAATTAGGAGAAAAACAAACCTCATTTTTATATGAGGGGGAGATTGGAAAGCATTCTTGGTTTCTCCTTTAGCCATAGGCTTTGGTTCCTGGCTGCCTGAGGTTGCTGTTAAAAATTGGCTTCAACTCTGTGAGGTTTTCCTGAAAGCTCCAGTTAGAAATGCATAATCCAGGCATGATGCAGTTTGCCTGTGAACCAGAATTGTGTTCGTATTCTCATTGTAATGACAGGGAGGGGTGCAATCTGATAAATGAATGGCTAGGATAGAAAATGTGAAGTTGGTCTGTGGATAAGAGCAGATGAACCACTTGTGGTTTGTGGAATTGCTGTTGGTTGTGAGACCGTGGTCAGCTTTGGCACTGGCACGGACCTATTTCCCTGAAAGTGCGCCCATGTGTGTCAACTGCTTTGGTAGGAGTGTAAAAGGATTTGTGCAGGTAATGGGGATAATGTTTATGTAAGGAAATCACTTTTTTATTCCAGGATTTTGCTCCTCTATTGTCATGTAAACATAAAATCAAATCACTCAGGGTGTTTAGAGGTGACCCACAGAGCTGTAAATCTCGTTCTCTTCGTTCATACCTTGACATGAAAGAGTGTGAAGATTTGTGTAGTTTTCCTAAAAGGCCTCAGGAACACCAGTGTTCTCCTACTTTTTCCAGGATGATGGTGTTCATTGGTGATCATTCATATTTGTTTTCTTGCTGTGAACTGTGCTGTGATGAGGGGTTGGCATCTTATTTTTCTCTTATGCCCATGAGAAAAATTTCTCAGAGAGAGCCCTTGGTTGGAAATGAGGTTGCAATGAAGAGAGTTGTGACCTGATTAAGTAAAATCACTGTCCTGGTTCCTAGGCTCTTTCTCTCATTTTTGGAAGGACACTGGAGGAATTCTCTGGGTTCATGAGTCAGGCCCCAGCCAGTTTCCAGAAGGAACAGGAAATAGCGTTGACTCTTGTATGTGTGTCAGGAGACTTCAGCAGGAAAACAAGGAGCCCTGTGACAGGAGAAATATTGGCACCCTTGAGCACAGAGAGCGTGAACATGCACAGCTTCTGGTGCACAGAGGGTGCTTTCTGTCCCTTGGGGAGCAGTGCAGGCTGAGAGCATGGGAGTCTCTTCCTGTGCAAGGATCAGACTCCTTCCCCCCTGCAGGCTGGGCCAGGGAGCCTTTTGTGAGCAGCATTCCCTCCCTGAGCTTGGTCTTTGCTGCCTCTAGATGGCAGCCCTTGTTCCTGACCTCCATTGCCCAATATCCCCAGGTCAGCTGGAAAGCCCAATGAAATGCCTGGCTGTGTGTTACTATTTTACCACCCATTCAGGCAGTGACAGGCTTTTGCAGCCTGAACGTGTCAAATGTTCAGAAGGGATGGGGGAAGTTGGTTTGTTTTGGCAAGCCCAACCCAAATCTTGTTCAGAGTCTGGTGCTTGAGAATGTGTCTGCCTTGGCTGATATTTCTGTTCTGGTTGTCTTTCAGCGTGCTCCTGGACGACCTGCAGCTCAGTGACAGTGAGGAGAGCGATGACAACCAAGTCAGTTTGGGATGTTGGACACACCAGGCACACAGACGTGCCTTGGAATCATCTCACCTTGTTGCATTGTTCTGAGTTCCTTGAGCTAACCTGTCCTTCCCCTCTTCTCTTTCTTTTTGTGACCAAAACAGGTTGTTGAAAAGCCTCCTTCTGCACTTGTTTCTCCAAGAGACAGGTTTTTTACCAAAATTCTAGCTAGACCAGATAAGGAGAAAAACAAACCTCCTTTTCATATGAGGAGGAGATGGGAAAGGGTTCCTGGTTTCTGTCATGTATTGTTAGTCAGAAGCAATATTCAAGACAGACTAAAGTGCCCCAGGCCAGCATTAGAGGAAGAAAGGTGGAGAAGCCCAGAATTTTTCCTCTAAGGCAGCATTGACCCACATTTTTGGGTTGACCAAGGAACACAGATGGAGAAGGGAAAACTTAAGGGGAAGAATACAAAACTGAGAAATCTGGTAGCCTTTACTGGACATTTTTTTCCAGTTGAAAGGACTGAGGCTTTCAGAAAAACCCTGGCCAGTTTTGATGGGTTTTTAAAGTTGAGTTGGCCAAATGCAGCTTCAGAATGTAGCAGTGATGTCCTGCTTACATATTTGTCTGACTGGGTTGGAGTTGAAGGATTTATTATTTCCAGAGTTTTTTCATTCCAGTGCTTTATGTTTTGAGTATGGCAATGTATTCTCCTCTCATTGCCAAAACACAGGGTTTCAGTTTTATTTTTGAATACTACCATGTCAATATAATAAATAAATAATCTTCACCCATGCTTCTTTGTAATTTCATCTCCTGGTGGCTTTGCAGTGCCCTAAAGTCCCAGCCCAGGAGTGTGGCATCATCTCCATCCAGCAGCTCCGAGACCAGTGACTCAGAGAGCTCCGTAGACTGGGAGATGGAGACCACCTCGAGTGACGGTGACGTGAGCGACCCTCCAAGTGCACCAGCACCTGAGGTGAGTGCAAATGAAATGTAGGAGCTGCTTAACACAGCCTCCTGCCTCAGCCTGCCTGCTGTCTGAGTGCAGGCAGGACAGGAGACCTGAAATAATGTCCTTCAGGTGTCCCCTTGACACCTTTGCTGTGTCAGAGATGCTGCTTCCCTTCTGGAGTTTGTCAGTGAAATACTCTCAGTAACAGCGTGGTTAGACCTCTGGTGGTTTCTGCTGGAAGTGTTCCCCCTTGTCCTTTGGCATCGTTGTCTAGCACTTCTGGAGTTGTAATTCCATGCTTAGTCCATTTTGAAGCTGACAGATGAAACTTTTGGTGAATATGCTGAATGATCCTCCTTTGCAGTCTTTAGGCTGTGGCCCCTGACTGTTTTCTGTGCATAGGCGTTCTGGGTAATGGCTTTGTAAGCTCCAGTAAAAAATCCATGGCTTCACTTTCTGCTTGTTTCAGCATTGTCATTGTCATCCTTGGTTACTTCTGTTTGGCCTCAATGATCAACATCTATTTGATAATACAGTCCTCCAGTGCTGAAGCCTGGAGAGGGAGGAGGAAGAAACAGTAAGGTTGCAGCCCTGGCTGTGTGCCGTGTGTGCTGCATGTACAGCTCAGGGGTGGTGACTGGGGAGCAGGGCTGGGCTGGTTTGCTTTTAGGAAACATCCTGTGAGGGCTGCTGCACACAGGTGAAAGATTCACCCAAAGAAAGGATCTTGAGAAGGCTGCTCAGGGGTCCTTGGGGTGAAAGGTCATCCCTCCCTCTTGTTTTTGGTGAAACAAGAGCTGCAGGGAGGCTCCTGCCTTGCCATGATCCTGACAGTGAACGGGTCTAGACGAGCAGAAATTCTGCTGTTCTTCCCTCTTCCTCCCAAACCCTGGAAGCATGGTTTTACACACTGTAGTTAAACATTTTTGGTGGCAGTAGCACATATCGTTTCTGTGCATGCTAAGGTATGTCAGCCAGCTTAGACTGGCAAGAACTCTGCCAGACTCTTGCCAGACTCTGACAAGCTAGTCAAAGTGTTTAGTCCAGTAGGTAACACCTGGGAAACCAATCATTGTTAAAGTGCTATTGAGAGAGAGCTGATTTATTTCATTCTCAACATGCACTTTGTCTTCCTTTCTAGGACACAGATGGCTCTGCAGCTCAGAATCAGGGTAAGCAGAAATCCAAAGCAAACACCCAGTTATGTATTGACAGGTCAGGTTGTGTGTGGTGTGTGATATGTTGTGGGGAACATCACTTGTTTACATGGATTAAGAAGGGTGATTTCCTCTGCTTTGTTGAACAGGGATGACTTTAGAAATGGCCACAGAGACTGTAAACATTCATTACCTAGAAATGAAGGTAGCAGTCCAGCAGGGCACAAGCAGTATTTCATTAGGAAACCCCCTTTGGAAACCCCACTGGGAAAGCCCATGGAGTGATGAATAATCTCAGTGGCAAACATGTCCCGGAAGAAAGTGACTTTCCAATCTGCTGCTCAGAGATCATAGGGTGAAAGAGGCTAGAAGTGAGGCAACTTAATCCAACCTATTCCTGTTTGATGTGCAGAGCAGTCTGGCACAGGCTCAGGAACATTGCCGAGCTCTCAGCCCAGAACATCGTAAGTAACCAGACTCTGTTCCCAGCTCTACTGGGCAGTTTCTTAAAAGAACCTGGAAGGCACAAAAACTGGTGCTCCTTGAGGATTCTGAAGATTAAGTTTTATCAGTCTGGTTTTTCTTAGACAACTTGAGTGCAGGGAATTTTCACCCATGAAACATTAATATTTCCGGATGGACTCACGGAAAACTTTAGGCTGGAAAAGGCCTTTAAGATCATCAAGTCCAACCATTAATCCAGCAATGCCAAGTCCACTAAGCCATGGAATGGTTATATTATCTGTGTTGAAGGCAAACCAAAACTGAAGAGAAAACCCCCGAAGTATTAATGTCGTAGCCTTGGGGAACAGTGCAGGCTGAGAGCATGGGAGTCTCTTCCTGTGCAAGGATCAGACTCCTTCCCCCCTGCAGGCTGGGCCAGGGAGCCTTTTGTGAGCAGCATTCCCTCCCTGAGCTTGGTCTTTGCTGCCTCTAGATGGCAGCCCTTGTTCCTGACCTCCATTGCCCAATATCCCCAGGTCAGCTGGAAAGCCCAATGAAATGCCTGGTTGTGTGTTACTATTTTACCACCCATTCAGGCAGTGACAGGCTTTTGCAGCCTGAACGTGTCAAATGTTCAGAAGGGATGGGGGAAGTTGGTTTGTTTTGGCAAGCACAACCCAAAACTTTTTTCAGTCTGGTGCTTGAGAATGTGTCTGCCTTGGCTGATATTTCTGTTCTGGTTGTCTTTCAGCGTGCTCCTGGACGACCTGCAGCTCAGTGACAGTGAGGAGAGCGATGACAACCAAGTCAGTTTGGGATGTTGGACACACCAGGCACACAGACGTGCCTTGGAATCATCTCACCTTGTTGCATTGTTCTGAGTTCCTTGAGCTAACCTGTCCTTCCCCTCTTCTCTTTCTTTTTGTGACCAAAACAGGTTGTTGAAAAGCCTCCTTCTGCACTTGTTTCTCCAAGAGACAGGTTTTTTACCAAAAAAAACCCTTCTTTTTTATGGGAGGGGGAAATGGGAAAGGGTTCCTGGTTTCTGTCATGTATTGTTAGTCAGAAGCAATATTCAAGACAGACTAAAGTGCCCCGGGCCAGCATTAGAGGAAGAAAGGTGGAGAAGCCCAGAATTTTTCCTCTAAGGCAGCACTGACCCACATTTTTGGGTTGACCAAGGAACACAGATGGAGAAGGGAAAACTTAAGGGGAAGAATTACAAAATGAAGAAACCATCCTGAAATCTGGTAGCCTTTATTGGAAATTTTGCTTTTGAGGACTGGGGCTTTCAGAAAAGCCCTGGCCACTTTTGGTGGGTTTTGATAGTTTAGTTGGTCAAATGCAGCTTCAGAATGTAGCAGTGATGTCCTGTTTATGTGTTTGTCTGACCCCATTGAAGGATTTATTTCCAGAGTTTTTTCATTCCAGTGCTTTATGTTTTGAGTATGGCAATGTATTTCCTCTGGCCTTCTCCCCTCTCCTCTCACTGCCAAAACAGAGGGTTTCAGTTTTATTTCTGAATACTGCCATGTCCCTATAATAAGTAAGTAACACTCTCCCATGCTCCTTTCTAGTTTTAGCACACGGTGGCCACGCATTCCCCTACAGTCCCAGCCCAGGAGTGTGGCATCATCTTTGTCCAGCAGCTCAGAGTCAGGGAGCAGCAGTGACTCAGAGAGCTCCTCAGGCTTGGAGACCCACCAGACTGTGGGAATCAAAAGGCCTGGCAAGCCCCTGGTGCACGATGGGTCCAAGAGGCACCGGAAGGAGGACAGTGACCCCAATCCAGGAGATCAGGGCCCAGTCTTCCAGGGACTGATGCTGCAGTCTATGAGCTGGGACTGCTCAGCGTGTTCTTGTAAACTTTGGAACGCTGAATAAAAATGGTGTAACTGAGCAGTGGTGAAGCAAGGTGCTATTTGGTGTCCCCTGGTCATCCTAACTTCAGAGGATCACAAATCTGATATGCCACTGTATTATTAAATGGGATGGTCTCTGCCATTTAAAAGCAGAGCATTTTAAGTCTCTCTCCATTGAATCCTCTCAACTTTGTAAGTGCTGTCTAGTTGAGCTGGCAAGTCTGAAAGGAACAATCAGTCTAATTCAGTCAAAGCACATAGAGGAGATGTCGGGGGGGTATCTCTGACCACAGAAGGTACCATGTACCATAAGGAGGAGAGAGAGACAGTGCTGCAGTTTATTTGCCTTGTTGGGTGATTTGTCCCAGGGATTTTAGTTGCTGTAATTACCCCTTCACTCAGCGAAAAGGGGCTGTGTTGGAGGGATACCTTTTTTGCAGTGTCCTGATAGTCTGGGTGCAAGTGTTGGCTCCAAGGACAAGTCCCGAGACTTGCTCCTACTTGAGAAGCAACTTGTGTGTTGTTGGCTGATAAAGGTGTGATATCTACTGCACAATGAACTGAACAAAGTTTCATTTCGCTTTGGTTGAATCCTCTGTATTAACAAGTTGTCTCACACTTCCAGGGGAATTTAAAGAGAATTGGTAGAGGATGTAACTGAGTCTTAAAAAAATCCCTACAATGTATATACACCATATTCACACCTTTGCTTCCCATCTCCAGAGCATCAAACCCATCATTTGAAACCCAGAAGAAGACGTGCTGCCCCCACCACAGCCAGCCGTGACTCCTGCACATCCTGCACCAAAGCCAACAGACATGACCCAAAAGATACAGAGCTGAGACACAGCTGAGAGCTGGAAGAGACACAGAGCCGAGGCTGACAAACTGCCTGCCATGGATAACCCCAAGGATCCTTTGTTCACCAAGCACTGGCAAGTGAAGGGAAATTACACGGAGCTGTCAAAGAGCATCGGAGTAGGCATCCAGGATAACTGGTGGGATGTTTCCAGCAACCCGTGGGTGCTGTGTGATTTTCTTTAGAAACATACTCTAAGATTAGTCAGGGTTTCAGTACTTGTAGGAAACTGTAAAGACAATATTAGTGTGAAAATAAGGGTGTTGGTAAAGAGAAAGGATGGGTTGCTTAAAAATAAGAAACATGCAGTTTTGTCTGCAGCCCAGGTTTAAGGATTTATAGCTTCTTTACAAAATTGTTCATGACCCTTGCAGCTGGATCTTTGCATTTCTGGATTCTAAAATCAATTCCATGGCTGTTTACCAGTGGCTTGGTGTGTGTTCTGTGTTGTCCCAGGCACAGTCTATTGACCAGGCGCTCCCCCTCTCACCTTCCCCAGCAATGTTGTTGTTATGTGTGTGTTAAGCCAGACTTTGCACAGTGTATTAGGTGGCTTCTCATTGCTTGCTTTTCCTTGCCACTGTAGCAATTGGTGTGTGCTTAAGAGGGAAATAAGTGGGAATGGATATCACCCATTCCTACCTTAGCTAGTGGCCATGAAAAATGTGCTGCTTGCAGCCTTCCTGCTCTTTTAGCCACTGTGCAAGGAAACCTGCTACTGAATTTCTCCATGCTTGGGAAAAGTTTAATGGTACTGAGCATTATGAGTAGTCAGGTGAGAAGCCAAGTCTCCATTTCCATTCTTGGAGGGATTGCTGAGGAAGAAGGTGAGAGGGGGAGAACCTAGAGAATAGACTATACCTGGGACAAATACACAGTTTCTCTTGAAATTTAAGAAAGTCAAGCTTTGGAATTGGTTTTAGGCCTCTCTCTCTAACCAGCTTTATCTCTGTGGTTTTTCTGGGATCTGCAGGGCATGTCACAAAGCCTTTCCCAGTGCCTTCTTTGCCGGACATCACTTCCGAGCCAAGGAGGCCTCTACTCAAGTTTGAAAAGTAAGTATCTGTTTTACACCCCTTGTCTGTAGTTCCTGAAGACCAGGCAAGGATGACCCTGCAGCCACTTTGGCTCCTGCTTCTTCAGGAGCACTTCTTTTGGGAGGACAGAGAGAGGGAGGGATGTGTGAGACCTGCCCTGTTGGAGCAGCACTTGCTAAAGGAACTTGGCTCCTGAGCAGCACTTGAATTTTGGAGTCCTTGCTGGGCATGTGACCAGTATTTGCCAGTAGCAACTCCTAGAATTGCTGCTCCTCTTGTTATTGTACAGTTTTGTAGTTAAAACTGTTGTGTTCTCCTGTGGTGCAAGCAGTGGTGCATCTGTAAAAGCTGTAGAGGGGGTGCAGTTCAGCCTGTAACCTACCATCCCACGTGGCCTTTGCAGTGCCATTTTCCATAAAACACAAGGCTTTGTGAGCTACTGAGGATGAAGGGATGCAGTGCCATGATCTGTCGGCAGAGTGGCAAAAGAAAATAAGCACAATGTGCGGTAGGAAGGCTGTAAAAAGTCTCACACTGATGAGGCAGTTGCTGAAATTCTACAGGCTTTGCAAGTGCCCTTTGAATCAAGTAGCTGTATTTGCTGAGTGTCCTCTGTCAGATGTGCCTGTTGTATGAAAGCAACCAAAGGTTTTCTCTCTCCCTCTCTTTTTCCAGAGATCTTTGCTGAAGTCATCAGAGAGACCTGTGCTCTGGTACTGACCAGCAGCCTGACAGACCTGTTACACTCCACCAGGCAGGGATTAGTGACTGAGACTGGAAGAAAACATGCCTGAATTGTTTCTCTAGGATGTCAAATACCTCCCAGTTTTTTGTAGTCGTGAAGCCTTTGGAACTTAGAAACTTAGTTAAGCAATTTTTTTGAATTTTTCAAGAAAGCATCTTGAATTTTTTTTGCACTTCTGAAAACTTAGAAACTTAGAAGCTTAGTTTTGTTAGTTTCTTGAATTGTTCAAAAAGAACTGTAGGCAAAACTAGAAACAGCTTAGTTATTTTTTTTTAATTTTTGAAAAAAGCACCTGCAAGCAAAAATATTTTAAATAAAGTTCAAGTTTTCTTTTTCCATTGGGAAAACTTTGCACTGTGTTTTTTCAGGTAGTGCTTTCACCTGCCTTTAAAACAACAAAGTGCAATGAGTTGTCTGAATGGGCCAATGTATTGATGATCTATGCACATTTCTATTATGAGTAACCAACAGGACAATAATCAAACATATTGCTGACAAGGAGAACGGTCTCCAGAGGTTATTAGGTGACATCCCACAGTCTGCAGTAGTTGTGTGCCCAGAAAACACCAGAGGAATGTTTTCCAAGCTCTGGCACACATCCACGCCCTCAGCACTGGAACTGAGTTACTGAGGGTCTTGCTCAGTTTCAGCCTTGGAAGCCTCAAGCTGGGGTGGCAAATGATGAGGGGTGTTTGGGAACAGCTCTGCCTGTCTCCTGTGGTGGAGGGATGTCACTCAAGGGCTCCTGCTCAGAAATCTGCTGCAGAAGTGCACGTCCCATGCTTTCTAACAGTTCCTCCAGCTTGCAAGAAGTGCATGGTTATACCTGCAGAGCACAGCTGATGTAAACCAATCTACTGGCAATTCTGAAGTACTCTTACAAAGCTAAGACACTTTGTAATTTATTTCTTCTCCCCTATCTCAGCCATATTTTTCCTTTCTTTTGCCTTAGAAGCACATGAACAGGGAGTCAGTAGGGGGGTTGAACAGGGAGTCAGTAGGGGGGTTCCACAGGGCTCCATCTTAGGCCCAGTGCTCTTCCACACCTTCTTAAATGACTTGGACGCAGGGCTGGGAAGGATACTAAGCAAGTTTGCAGACAACACAGAACTGGGAGGAGCTGTTGACTCCCTCGAAGGCAAGGAGGCCTTGCAGAGACACCTTGACAAATGAGAGGGCTGGTCAATCACCAACCATATGGAGTTCCATATGGGAAAGTTCTTTTCTGTGAGGGAAAGTTCTGGATTCTGCACCTGGGATGGGGCAACCCTGGATGTTCAGACTGGGGAATGAGATGCTGGAAAGCAGTGCTGTGGAAACGGACCCGGAGGTCCTGGTCGATGGCAAGTTGAATATGAGTCAGCAGTGCCCTGGCAGCCAGGAGGGCCGACCGTGTCCTGGGGGGCATCAGGCAAAGCATCGCCAGCCAGTCTAGGGAGAGGATTGTCCCGCTCTGCTCTGCACTGATGCGGCCTCAGCTTGAACATTGTGGCACTTTTGGGCACCACAATGTAAGAAAGATATTAAGCTAATAGACAGTGTCCAAAGGAGGGCAGCAAGGATGGTGAAGAGCCTTGAGGGGAAGCCGTGTGAGGAGCGGCTGAGATCACTGGATCTGTTCAGCCTGGAGAAGAGTAGACTGAGGGGAGACCTCATCACAGTTACAACTTCCTCGTGAGGGGAAGAGGAGGGGCAGGCACTGATCTCTTCTCTGTGGTGACCAGGGAAGAACCTGAGGGAATGGGCTGAAGTTGTGTCAGGGGAGGTTTAGATTGGATATCAGGAAAAGAGTCTTCCCCCAGAGGGTGGTTGGGCACTGGAACAGGCTCCCCAGGGCAGTGGTTACAGCTCCAAGCCTGACAGAATTCAAGAGGCATTTGGATGATGCTCTCAGGCACCTGGTGTGACTCTTGGGGATAGTCCTGTGCAGGGCCAGGAGTTAGAATTGATGTTCCTTGTGGGTCCCTTCCAACTTGGCATATTCTGTTATTCTTTGTGCCCAAAAAAAGCTTTGAGAAGGCCTATCTTTTCATCTGACTTCTAATACTCTTTACTCTCCAACAGTTCAGTTACAGACTTTGCCCGGTGCACTGTGGGGGTCTTTGGAAGGAAACAGATGTTATACTACTTCTCTCTTACCAAATCCTGCCTGGTTTGTCCTGAAAATACTAAATCCTAAGACCCCCCTCTCCCTCTAGTGAAGGCCTGACTATTTGCTGTTGACCGTTTTGTCCTTTTCTGTCCAGTAAACGTCCACAAACGGTGCTCGAGGAGCATGTTAGTGCATGTGGCCTGTTGGTTTATAGCCAGTGCTTCACAGGCAAAAGCCCAGATTTAAAAACCTCTAGGCAGCAATCTCTGGACTCTGGTAAGTTGTGCAGTGATAGAAACAGCCCATAAAATCATCAGCCTTGAATCCTTCTTTTGTCTTTTTGTTGGCAGCCTGAACCACCAACTTCTATTAAGTGACACCTTGTCAAGTGTTATTTTATGGGGGGTGGGGGGGTGGATTTCTTTAGCGACTGAAAGGCTACAGTATTCCTCAGGCTGAAGGTGGGAGGAGGTGAATGTCTCCCTCTGCTTTGCCCTCATTAGGCCCCGCCTGGAATGGCCCCCAGCTCTGGGGCCCAGCACAAGCAGGATGTGCCTGTTGGAGCAGAGGCCTCGAACACCTCTCCTCCACAGCCAGGCCAGGAGAGCTGGGGCTGTCCATCCTGGACAGGAGTAGGCCTCATTGAGGCATTCCAGTGCCTGAAGGAGGCCTGCAGGAAAGGCAGAATGATTTATTATGTGGGCAGAAACTGATAGGAAAAGGGGGAATGGTTTTAAACTAAATGTGGGGAGGTTTAGATTAGATACTAGGGAGAACTGTGAGGGTGGTGAGATACTGGAACAGGCTGCCCAGAGAAGCTGTGGATGCCCCATCCCTGGAAGGCCCCATTCCAGGACAGGGCCCTGAGCACCGTCATTTAGTGCATGGGGTCCCTACCCATGGCAGGGGGTTGGAACCAGGTAATCTTTGAGGTCCCTTCCAAACCAAGGCATTCTGGAACTCCGTGAGGGTGTCCTGTTACCTGGACATGGAATGTTACCTAATGGTTGCCATAGGGACTCATGGACTTCCCCTCTAGCTTTGGGCAGAAACTGGTGATTTGGGAATGGGAATATTGGAATGAGGGGATATTTGCAAGCTGTTGGGATAGGCTTTTCCTTGGTGAGGCAACTGGTAAGAGATCAGAGGTGATGTCTTTTCCTTGATGTGATGCACTCAAGTAGGAATGGCCCACAGCACCATTCAATGCATATTCCAGCAGTTTGTCATTAGCTGGGCCCTCTACCTCAAGGGAACGTGTACAGCATGGTACCGCAAAATTAGAATACCCTCTGATTCTCATTTTGGTGTTTTTGTTTCTGGTTTTGTTTTTCTGTGTGATATACATTCCCCTATGTTAAGTGAATCTTCTGTTAATTCCTATCTCCCACAAGCTGCTGTCATGCAACAGAACTGTGTGAGGAGCTCAGCCACTGCTCCTCTTGTGCTACCACTTGTGGAAGACAGGGCTGGTAATGCTCTGTATGGACTGTTGAGGGCAAAGCTTGAGTGAAATGTTGGACACGTTCCTGAAGAGAAGAGAACCAGGACACCATTTTAATCTTACCTCACCGTATTCCACCATGGCAGCCCATTTCATTCCTCTGCCATCTCTGATCTTGATTCTAACATTCTGTTTTTCAGCTGGTGAAGAATTCATAGATCTCACAGGTGAATCTTCCGAGCCAATCTAACTGCGATAGTTCTGTTGTGGTAAGCAGTGAATGGCACCCTTCTCTCCATCCTGCAGTCTCTTGTGCTCCCAGACCTGTCTTCTGGCATGTGACTGAGCAGCCTGACCTCAAGGGTCTGATTTACCACTTAAGACAGAGTTCCCAGTCAACTCCAAATGCACTCATGAACACCTCAGCATGTCTATCACTTGCAGAGGGTGGAGAGTAATCTAAAAAAGCTTGTTGCTTCAGAACTCAGGGAGAGCATTTGCAAATCATGGGTAATGTTAACAGAAGGAGATGCCATTTAAGGCTGAAACTATTCTAGAGATACCCAAGACATAGGCCAGTAATTTAAAAAAGCAAAGGACAGGACAGGAAGTCTTTGACTTCACAAATATGAAATGTTTAGCTGGTTTAAGGTACGCCTGTCACTGTGGTGCCAAGCATAATTGTAGTGGATTGGGGCACAAACGAGTTCTGTTTATTACTCCAAGAAGTCTGTAAATAAGATCCAGCCCACAGTGTAGTTTATCCCCTCAGTTTTGGGATGCCACTGCTGCCTTGTAAAGCAGAAACATTTAGCAAGAATAGGAAAAGGCCTCAAGCTTTTTTACAAAAGAATCTGCATGACCCAGCTCAAGTTCCACAAAAATAATAGCGGACTTGGGGTTGGGGTTTTTTTCAGCAGCAGTTCATCCAATACAGAGTGCTTATGGCTATCACAGCTGAATTTGCCTATTTGAGGGAGAGAGAGGGAATGAAACACCTACAGCCCAAAACCAATCAGGGAATTGAAACGGGAGCAGGGAGGAGAGGCTTCAGGTGGTTCCTAAGCTGCTTCCATTTCTACCCCATTGCAGCAGCAGGACTAAAACCAGCAGCACCGACTTGTTTCCAGAGCAGCAGATAATTCAGTAGTGCTACCAATGAGTGACACTGAAGAGGAACTAAGAGATAATAATGGGTATGTGACAGATAAAATGTCTCCAAAGTCTAGTTTCTGATACACGGTACAAACAGGTTTCTGCCAAGCTTTTGGGTTCTGTTTGATTCTGTGTGAAAATTTTTGAGCTGGAATATAGAGGCCTGCCTGGAAAAGAACTAATTAAACAGAAAAAAACCCCACCAAAAAAAAACCAAACAAAAAACCCCACAAAAAACCCTAAACAAACAAACAAAAAAACAAACCACTGTGAGAAATAAAAATATGGGTTTTTATAGGCATATCACAAAGTTGTAAGATATTCAAGTCTCAGGCTGGGACTAGGTATCAGGAACTTTTTTGGCCTGATAAGGGAAATATAAAAATTCCTAAAAATTAAAATTTTTGGGGGCCATGTGAGAATTTTGTACACAGGGATTTCTCTTCTCTCTTTGGGCTAAGAACAAAGGAAGATCCATCATTTTTGACAGAGGATGTCCAGTGGCCAATTGGAAAGAAGGGAAAGCCCCTTTTCAGAGAAAAGAAACCTTTTTAGGCAAAAAAGAATATATTAAGCTTATCTGAAAAGGGTGGGGATTTTGTGAAACTATAAAATGTATGGAATTTAAACCAAAGGGATCTTTCCCCTGGAAACTCGGTGCGAGAAAGACCCAACGCGTTGAATAAATTCTTCCTTGTTTCTTTGTTCCCTGAGTTTATGCCGTCTTTCTAAATTTAAAAAGAGGAATATTTCCCACACCACCAAAAAACCAAACCAAAAGCATCAAAATCCAGTAGGAACCTTTCTTCTTTGTTCATAAAGGCATTATTGAATGTATCTTGCACTATGACTTGAGATACATTGAAATGCTTGCAGTATGTAATAGTTCTTGGAATAATTTTGTTGCTGGGGTGGAATGATGCTAAATCGGAATAGGGAATGTTTTCATTTCTGACATTTTAGTATTGGTAACCCTTGATGCACAGTAAAATTAGTGGCTGCATGTTTTTTCTGATTCTGTTCTCTGTAGCACATGGCCAACAGGTCCTGTTAGTTCTCCAGTTTGGGTGGATATGAGCTCAGAGGTAAAGATCCACATGTTGTCATCCTTTCTGCTTTGTCGGGGGGAAGGGGCAGAGGGGGAGCTGTGCACCTCAGTTGGCTAACGTGGGGTGCTATGGGCAGCTGGCTTGAAGCACAGACCTTGCTTTGAAGCTCCAACTAGCACGTCACTCCAAGTCACTTCTTCGTGGTGTATGTAGAGGGGGAAACCCTTGCCAAGATGGCACTCTAAGAACTGAGGGTTCCTTATTGTTCTAGGAGTAACTGGCAGATACTCGAAGTCCTATTTCCCTGGTGCCAATACAGCAGCAAACTGGAATTCTTTACTCCCAATCACCGTTGCGGTTTCCTTTCTTCAGCAGCTGTTCATTTAACACAAAGTGTTTGGGGCTAACACAGCTGAATTTGCCCATTTGAGGGAGAAAGAGGGAAAGTAATACTTTCAGCCCAAATCCAATTAGAGAACTGAAACTGAGGAGCTGGGAGGAGGGTCTTCCAATGGTTCTTAAGCTGCCTCTGTTTTCTGCCCTTTTGCAACAGAGGGAGTAGAACCAGTAGCAACCTATTACTTGTTTTCAGGGTAGCAGCTAATTGACTACTAGTTTCAGTGTACTTAACCAAAATAGGAGGTTGATAGCATTCTTCCCCTGTGCTGTTGTAGCTGCTTCACTGAGCTGGTGCTGCACCAGGGGTGCAGACCAAAGTCTAATTGTATTTTCTTTTCTCTCCCTTCCCATATGCATTGATGAAGCTTCCTGAAGGTGAGTTGACATTTTACAGTTGATAATGGAAATGTCTTAAGCATAATTATTATGTTTTGTTTGTCTTTTTCAACAAGCTTGAGGAGCAGGAATTGAAACTGCATTTAGCAAAAGGAAAGTACGATGGTAAAGCCTCTGTGCAGCGTCTTAGAGAATGGATTCAATCTGCATCTGATAGCCACTATCAGACACACTGGAAAATCCCTGCAAATAAAAGTTGTAGCTGAATATTTATGCAGAAAGGAATTTTAATTTGGGGACACTTTCTGTAATTTTAATTGATTAGTGCTTGATTATTGTTACATGGACTCTGGAGTTGCAGAGTTGCCTGTGGTTTCTGAGAGTTAAAAAACAAACAGTATTTCTTGACCCTTTGGATGCTATAGACTAGGCCATTAAAAATTGATCTCCCTTGAACTTCGGCAATATAACTCCATTGTCAAGTTACCTTAACTCAGGAGAGAGATGATGACAATTTCTAAGGAGACTTTAAACCACTTTATAAATTCCGAGAACTGTTCTTAACAAGACTCATTTGATAGAAACTGCCTTTGAGTGGGGAGGTTTGGTTTAACACAGACAAAAAGAGTGCAACAGTTTAGCATCATACAGCAACAAGGAAGCACAACAGCTCTGGAATATATAGTTTTAGATTTAAGCATCTCTTCAATCTCTTATGAAGGTTTCTGAATAAAGCACTCTGTGTTTTACCAGGCCTTTTTGTTGTGTATGTGCTACGTCACCATGCTCCTTGGAAACTTGACTGCAGTCCTCTCTCTCCACTATCACACAGCAATTGTTGCCCTTCCTGGCCATAGGATTGCAGCAGACACTTTTAGTAAGAATGGGGTGAGGGACCTTCCCTTTACAGGGCAGCTTTATTCACAGGTAGTGTAAGCCTATAGAACTTATACATTGAGAATGTCTTGGGCCACCTTTTCAGCTGTTTGTAGGGTGAATAGGGCAAATGCTTTGTGTTGGTCCATAGCAGAAACGTCTAGAAAGTGTCTGGAAGGCTTCAGCCTTAATATTTGGGAAACTAGTTTGTTTAAGATTGCATTTAACCCAGGTCAATAGAGTTCATTTAAAATAGGAACCATTACAGACTATTTATGATAATGCATTTGAAGGATAGTTCCAGGGGGAAGAGAGAGAGAGAATAAGAATTTTAACTTGTCAAAATTAAATTACAGAGTATATACAACAAATGAGAAATCTTTCACTAAGAAGCCATCAACAGCCAGACAGGTCTGTACTGAGCAGAGATGATGAAGATGAAACAACAGTAAATTATATGTATGGGACTGCTACAGCATCTGAACAACAGGTATCACCAGAAGAGCAAACTGCAAGATCAAAGTATGTATTCCTTATGACCTACCAAACACTGAATTTGCTTTTTAAAAAATTTTTATATAGATAGGACTAAGTTATACTGCAACGGCCTTCACTTGCTCTACTTATTTCCCTTTTTCAATGAGCATAACATCCTGTATTGTATGATGATCAAATGATACCATTTGCACTTTAGGAGAAAAATGCAGCCCAAGACAGATGCATAGCTTTGCATACAACCTTAAAGATGGGAGTGGGGGTATGGCAAGGAAGGGAGATAAGTCACAGGCTGTAGCTCACAATGTATTGTCATTTACTTTTTATGCCAAGCTCTGGTAGTGATGTTAGATACAGCAATACTTTCATTGGTATGGATGAGGCTTGGCATCACGAGACCAGCAGGCAGCAGCCGGGCAAATTCTCTGCCGGTTTTAAATAAAACTGGTGTTCTTTGAGCCTTTTGGGTTACTGAAAGGCAACATAGGAGAAAATATTAAAAAAGGAATATTGTGTTCCTTCGGTCTCAAGCTTCTCTGTTACAGAATACACCTTCCTGCTCTGTTCAGGTGAGGCTGAAAGAGCTCAGAGCTGCAGCATTTAACATTGACCAAAGGGTCCTTCCTGGGGCTGGAGCTTGCCAGAGCCATCTGCAGTGTTACTCTGTAGTGTCAGACCTCATTCCCTTCTGGGGTGAAGAGTTCCCAGAGGATAGCTAGATCCTTCAGTTACAAAGCTGTTATTGATGACCTGTTGGAGGTTAATGCTGCCATACATAGGCTGCCCAGTGCTGGAGACTGCTGTTAATTCAAATCCTAGAGCAGGGCAGCTGACTGCATCTTTCTCCCATTGAAAACCAAGATGCTGTTTCCTTTAGGACAGGGAGCTCTGAACTCCTCATTACATGCAGCAAACTGAGAGAGTTACAGATTTGCAGGGTTCTTCAAAAGAAATGCATCATGGCTAGTCAGTGCAGTCAGATGATTATGTGACATTTTATGTATCAGTAACCCTCAATGCCCAGCGATAGTAATGGCTGCTTGTTCTTTCTGGATCTGTTCTCTCTAGTCCATGGCCACCAGGGACTATTTGTTGTCGAATTTGCATGGATTTGTACTCAAAGGTAAGGATCCACATGTTGTCATCCTTTCTGCTTTGTGGGAGGGGGAACGGGGCAGAGGGGGAGCTGTGCAACTCAGCTGTCTTATGTGGGATGCTCTGGGCAACTGGCTGGAAGCACAGACCTTGCTGTGGGGCTCTGAAAATCACTTCTTGGTAGTGGATGTAGAGGGAAAAACCCTTGCCAAGATGGCACTGACAGATCCGTGGGTCTCCCATTACGCTAGCAGTAACGGACTGATTCCAGATCCTCCAAGTCCTATTGGCCCGGTGCCAACAAGAGCAGCAAACTTGAATCCTTTCCTCCCAATACATGTTGTGGTTTCCTTTCATCCAGATTCTGCGAAGTGGACGACTGGTTTTGGCAACCCGGTGTGGCCATATCTTCTGCAGTCGATGCCTCTCTGTTGCCATTGAGGTTACCGGGGCTTGTCCAACCTGCAGCAGAGAACTCACTCACAGACAATATCATCCCATTTATTTATGAGTACTTCTGTTTCTCAGCACAGATTCAGATGGATTTTGGTGAATAGGTGATGGAAAGACTTTTTGCTTCATGTATACAGTTCTCGTTGTATACAGCTCCATTTTTTCCTGAATTTAATTCTAAATAAATTGTTGATTTAAGTATAGTCAAGTCTGTTTGCTCATCTATGTTGGACTCAGCTGGTAGACCAAGACTTCTTGTAACAGGTGGAAATAAAACTCTTTGTTGGATCAGTCAGAAGCATTCGTTCTTTTCATCACACTGAAATCATTGATTTGGCAGAGAAAAAATGCTAAAGGCATAGGCTTTGTAGTTCTTGGGGCAGTGTGTGTTGTGTGGGGAAAAGGAAACAGGCACTGTTTGGGCTGCAAGGACTTCTGTTTCTCAGGACAGACTCAGCTGGATGTTTTGGTGAAAATGTCATGATTTCAGTGCCCTGAGGATTGAAAGAGCTGCAGATTGTGCACACGTCCAAAGAAAGCTATTCCCTTGAAGAGTAACTTGTACATATCTAGACAGCTTGTTTATGGTCCAAGCTGCTCCTTGTTATGTCCCTGGTTGTAAGGTTCCATTGATGCCTGCCAGCTGATGACAGGAACACTGCCAGCTTCTGTGAAACTCTCCCTCTTCTGAAAAGCCGGTAAGCTTAATGGCAATTGCAAGAATATAGCAGTGTGAACTGCTGTGTTCAACATTTAACTTGCAAAATAGAAGGTGCTTTAAGTAGCGAGGTAAGGACATTAAGCAACTGCCGAGGACCGCAGCGCCACCTTTTGCCATTGCCGTCACTGTCATCTTCACCAGGACCATCGCCATTTACCTTTTCCACTGCAAAGGCAAATTGTGTACAGAGGGAATGAGGAGCCTGCAGCAGCTCCTAGGTCCAGGTGCTGACATGGGCTTGCAGCAAGTGTCCCTGTCAGTCACGGGGAGTTACACCAGACATTGCCAGCGAGTGCTGATGGCGTGTACCTGTCCGTATTTCTGGGAGAAAGCATCCCGCTGAACGCACAGGTCATTTCTCTAACTGCCTGCAGGGCTAAGCGAGACCTGCACTTCCCAAGCTCTGAGTTCAGCGCTTGCAAACGTCTCCATCTGCCAGCTGGACGTGGTACTTCACAGCTCAGGGGCTGTCGCTGCTGAAACACCCTTCCCTCCATGGGAGCCCTGCACAAAGGCTCGTCTTCCATTTCTCCTTGAAAAATTCTTCTGTTTCATCAGAAGAATTTTCAGGTCCTGGGAATGGAAACCCAGGATAGAATAAACTGTCATGGACTTCAGGCATCATTTATGTGGCACACTCAGGGTAGACCTAAGAGCATTTGCAATCAGAATGCCAGATTTCTTGCTGCTTGGGGAGAAAGAATAAAAAGACAATGACACTGACACTTCTGCTCTATTCGGAGTAAAAGATAAAAGTTTGCTGCAAGTTATCCTATAGAAAAAGCACTGCTTTCTTTGCAAAGCAACTTTTAATAGGAATTCTTTAGTTCTCTGTTGCAGTTTATGGATTTCATAGGTTGTATATTTGGGAAGCTGTACTTTTACTGCTTCCAGCAGGACTCATGGAAGTTCAATCCAAACCACTGCTTTGATTTGGTTTGTTACTAGTGGGAAAAAAAGAGGAGAAGTACGGTATATTTAATTTTGTAATCCTTATTGTAGATTATGGAAGGTGTCTTCAGAGGTTAGGCAGAGAAGAGTGTGACCAATACTTTATCCATGCAAGTTTCACTAAATTCTAGAGCAGTATACAGCAAAGAGCTGCACGTTACCATCCCCAGTCACCAAGTCATCCATATTCTAAATTCCTAAATGTATAACTCTGCACTTTATCATCAGACAACAGGACCACATATTTGTGGTTTCATCACTTCCAGCCCTATGTGTGCAGTGCACCTCAGCTTTGCGGAGGAGCAATAAAAAGCTGAGCTCCTTTTAGCAAGAGCTAAAGGTGTTCTGAGCTCACCCAAATCTATTACTTCGAGTTCCTTAAAATGCATCTCTGTAGATATTTGAGAAGCTACTCTGCTGGCTATTTTGAATGGCTAATAAACTCTCTGTTTATTATGTCATCCTAGTGAAAGGTCTAGTCAGAACACAGCGTGTCCTACAGCCCCTCAACTATGGTAGGCAGAACAGGGGAAATAACAGAATGATGGGGAAGAGGTACTCAGGGATACTAAATTTTCTTAATAATCATACTTGATTTTTGCATGGCAGACAGAACTGCAAGGTAAATAACTAGTCTTCAGATAAAGGTAAGGTGAAAATTGTCTTCCTCCAGTTTATAGCATTTTGAGCATCTTTTTGTTTATTTGCAGGATGGCTTATGCTTCTTCTCCCACACATTCTTCCAGTAATATTAGTCACCTCTGATCCCATTTCACGTTTAGATATTGTCAGAGAAGCAGAAAGTGTGCCTCAAAAATACTTCTTTTTTTTAAACTTTTCCCAGGAATGTGTATCTCTATTGGTTTATGAGAGTCTTTTATCTAATAAGATATTAAAAGCAAGTTATAAATTACGTGTGCTTAACTCTAGAAGAAGAGATTTTAAATAAGAGGACTATTACCATTCAAATCTAACCTGGTCAGGAAGCTGGAGTTAATATCTTTGACTTTGGAAGACATATAACAGGATCATTAGTGAACAGGAGTGGCCAAGGTGCCACTCTACAATTCATCCACTAGACAGCCACTTTAGTAGGACAATATCCTCTAGCCCTAGTCTATAGCACTGGTTCTTTGCCCACTGTCACAGTACATTTGGATCTCTCAAATTTACAGAGCAATGTACTCTGTAAATTAAACTTTATTTTACAAACACACTAAGCAATGTAACAAAGATGACAAGCAAGGGCTCAATCCCCTTTGCACAGGTTAGTCTTTCGTGAATGCACTAATTCATCACTTAAGTCATGAGATTTGTCACTCACAAGTTGTCTAATTCATAATGCTCAATTCGTAACTTATTGCCTTTAGCTTTTAACTTGTGCATCTATGAGCGAATTTAGTTACCTGAGTGTTCACCTTGCCTCTTCCATTACAGTGTGGGCATTCACTGAAGCACAAAAGTCTCACCAGTCAAGCTGGTGTTGATTTCCTTTCAAAAGCATTTTGCATAAGCTGATTGGAAGTTTTTTCTATACCATTTCCAGGAGGTAGCAAATTCTTACAAAATGGCCAGACAATCAGTATTCAATATTCAAAAATCAACATTCAGAGTGATGGCTGCAGGGCAGAGCAATCTGTAGGTGATAATGGCTGCAAAATGGCCTTTTAGCCCTTTCTGGCCACCTCTCCTACCTGCCTGGTGATACCACTCCCAGCATACCTCCAGATTTAACGTGAGTTGCATTAGACAAACCCAGCAGGAGTTGAGTGAACAGTCACACTCACACACAGAAAAGTAATGTCTCAAAAATCACAGTCATAGCTTAATGTCTCAAAAATCACATTTGATTTTCTGTGGGGGAAAAAAAAAATTAGAGAATAGTTTTGTCTTTTCTGAACTTCTGGAGGAAACCCAGATTCAACCCTTAGTCCTCCCTCATCCCGAGAGAAGCTAGGATAAGGTGGCTCTGTGTGTCTGCCGTAATAATGAGGTAAATCTAAAACTAAGCCAAGAAGTCCAGTCAGCAGCGTAAGGCCAGCTTCTGCAAGGGGCAGGGCTGGACATGGGCATAGCTGCAGCATAGCTCAGACAGGAACCAAGGGTAAGAGCTGGAGCTTAGTTGCAGCTTCTGAGCGAAAGACAGGAAACCTCAGGGGAGGCATCTCACATCTCTTTCTCGTGCAAGTATTACTCACAAGTTCAGTGCTATCCCAGCAGTCTGATGTAGAGGTACAACGTGTATATGTTTTCAATAACTACTTTAGTATTTGTGTGTAGGTGGGGACTTACCTCTACATCCATTTATCATGTGTGTAATAATACAGTGTGAGTTCACATGAAAAGACTTCCCCTATTCAGGTCACATACAGGGCAGTAGCCATTTGCTTTCATAAAACTTAAAAATCTTAAGTCCATGGTCCCTTTCTCAGATCAAGCCTACATCAGCCAATGAAGTAGATATTACTAGGGAAGGGGGCACTTGTAAATAAGGTTTTCTTCTACAGGAAGCCAAGCTATAAAAATAGAAGTAGGTTCACTGAAGCGGATGGACTTGTGGAGTACATGTGTAGGTGAGGGGAGAATCAATCTATGGCACTTTTACTTAGGATCAAATTTCTGCTTCAAAGTGATTTATAAAGCTAAATTCACAGCTGCATAAACTTCTCTTTAGTGGATCCTGGAAATCAAAAGCACCAGAATATGACACTGCCCTGCTATTCTGAAAGGGATCATTACTTTGGCAAAGGTTGATTGAACCCACTGAACAAATGTCTCTAACAAGTAAAAAGTATTAAGTACACAAACCATGTATATTTTCAAGGCAGGCAAAAAGGACAAAACAACAAACAAACCCAACAGAAAACAGAAGTGAGTAGCAACTCATACACTCATCACTCAGCTCCAAGAAATACAAATAATTAAATTCACCTCTCTCTCTGTTTCTCAAGACAGGTAGGAGTTCTGTTATTATTGATAATGTGTCTGATGCCTACCCAAGCCATTGTGGATGCCTCTAGAAGAACTGCCACAGAACAGCCTTCAGAGATAAGACAACTGCTTTCTTACCAGTATCCCATTTCTGTGCTGACTTGAACTCTATATAGAATTGTGAATCCCTGGGTGGGATGAGGATTGCAAAGGATTAAGCTTTTGTTAATCCAAGCACAGACAAATACAAACCACTCAAATGCATAATCCGTTTTGTTAGCCATGAAGATATCAGGTTTTGATTAAGCTCTCAGAAGGCTTAGCATGGTCTAAAAGTTAAACAAGACATTTATGTTAAGAAGATCCACTTGTCACAGAAAACCAATCTAAAAATGGTAAGGGGAGAAAATTGCAAAAGCCATTTCTTTAAACCAAACTGTGTAGGATCACTGAATTTCAAGATCTTATTAATTTTAAAGATTATATCTCAATACTAAATGAAAGAAACAGAATAATATCCTTGACATTATTGTTTGGATTATTGTCATGTTTCAAAACCAAAATTTGCTTTAGAATAAAGGAGAAACAAGCAAACATCCC